ACTCCTCTAGGAAGGGCCGTGAACGTTTAGAGGCCATCCATTCTGATAACTCATGCATCAACCGACACGTAGAATTGGATGCGGTGTACAACAGCCTCAAAAAGAAGTGGAAAAGGCATTGACCAATCAGGACATTATGCCAACAGAAGTGACAGGGCAAATCAATTTTAGGCACGTTCAAATGTTAATTGTTTTGCACATCTACTTCACGGTTGAAGGTGACTTGGGGAAGCAAGGTCAAAAATTTGCAATTAGACTTGTTTGTCTTTCCCAAAGAACTTATTTCTTTCGAAATATGCATATATATTCAGATATATAACTTCTGCTTGTCGTTATCTGGACCACCTAATTGGACTTAGCTCGAAAATATGTATTGTCATTCTTATTTTAAATGCCCATATATGAATGATCCCGACACGTATGACTGCGAGATCGCGGAAATGTCGTTGCAGAGGAGGTGCATTTGTGGGCTGTAGAATGCCGGAATTTTAGTTAACTAGAATGTCTCTGTCGTCGCAATTCAGGGATATTGTGGAGGATTCGGCACTGGAACCTAGGACAGTGTTGAGGACGCGGACACAAATTGTTAGGTTACGAAGTCGCTGGGTAACCAGGGCTTCGTGGTAGTTCATGCAAGCAGAGACGACTTGTTCATAGTGTGAAATACTGAAGCATTCACTAGACAGAACGACGCATTCCCCTAAATGCGACATGTTATGTAGGACCGAGGATCACCGATGTGTAGTCTTTCCGTGGGGATTACAGAGAGAGCTGAACCAGCATAATGAGAACTAATCATAAAGACGGAAGTCCAGGACGCTATCGTCCGAATATCTTTCAGGTTAAACCCGACTTTCTCCTGATTGCAATGTCGCAACAGTTATTTTCCCAGTTGATCGACGGGAAGTGTAGGTACACCGTCAATTCGGAGGGACAAAAGTCTCAGACAGTCACGAAAGAAAAAAATTGCAAAAGTAATGTGGAAATCAGGAATTTATTTGAACTAGCTTAATGGTGGATTTTTATATAAGAAATAAAACTACGAGCAAATTACACGCTAATAGATTCGAGAAGCAGAAGAATGAGGTTGTGTGCGCGCCAGAATTCCAAGTCACTGAAATGAGAAGAATTCGGATGCGCAGCATAAGGAATGATGTAGAAGACGAGGTAGCAAAAGCGCAAATTAAAGGAAAAATATGAAACGATGTAGATTACCACTCTATTAAGCAGAAAATCCTTGCGCCTCCAAGCGTTCAATTATCTAAAAGTTGACAGGAAGAAAATCAGGATATTTGACTCTGCGTGTAAATAGCCCTTTCAGAAAAATTTTCATAGGTCTGCGAGTGATTTACTGGGCAGTCCAATTGCATCTAACTGTGGACTTTGCGAAGTGGGAAAATGAAATCTATGGCAATACATCATAAGAAGAAGAATAAGTGCTACGAATCAAACTTCCCCCCCCTATATACTTTCGTCCTAGGTTACGCAGAATGCCCCGTCGGTTTCATCTGACACACGATGTTTCACTTCTGCCTTTGATACGTTGATTTACGAGCGGGTTAAGGGGCTATCAGAAGCAAATAACTAGCCGGAATGGTAACCTTCGCCGAAAAATGCTCGTCAAACGACGTAAAATGTTTTCTCACAAATGGGTAGTTGTATGGAACCACAACATCGCATTCTTTGAGAAGCACTCTAAAAGCCTATCGCATACGCCAAACTGATCGCTGGCAGTTCCAATGCCTTCTTGTCCAAAAAGCATAATGACAATTCGACCGCTTCACTTCCTAACCTACACATATAGACCGGTGCCCGTCTGAGACGCCGCCTCGGTCACCGGATGATTTCTTGAAGCTCATAGTACTGGACCAAATAGTGTTGCAAACAGCAATTTAAATGCGGACGCAGGTGAGGTGTTTTCGTCCCACATGTGCGAGATATCTAATCTCGCTCTCGAAAGTGGGACCTATTCCAGTTTGTACAAGGACTCATGCCTTGTAAATATTCCCAAGCACGGCCAGTCTACGTCAGCTGACGACTTTCGGCCAGTAAACATCCCCCCCAGGCAATTTCGAAAATCTTAGAGGCCTTAATCTAAGATGAGGTAACGTCTCACTCAACATGAGATCGCAAAGCTGGGTCTTATGACGTCTGCCAGCCTCCCTTTTGGTAATCATGTTACACAACCTGCAAACAATGGTTTCGCCGCCTGAACAGTCATCATCAACCCCAAGTATGCATTGATGGAGACGACATTAATGTGAACGGAACTGTTGAGGATCTACGAATGCAAAACTCCAGGAGCCCCAGTCTTTCAGTTTTCCTGCCTGACTGGCCTCAAGGCAGACAAAACGACTGGATTTCCCCCATGGAAATTTGAAACTAGCTATCTTGGCACCCGCCTGGTCTAGAATGCTATACGTTTTTATTTAGCCTTCTGCGCACTGGTGAGCTACAGAAAGTGGAACTTGTCCAGCCTTTTGTTACCAGAAGTACTTTGATCGCGGAACGCCCAATTGCGACACATCGAGAACGTTGTGGACTCCCAGATCTAGGTGCTTTGTGGCTTCGCCGATTACAAAAGGAACTCCAGGTTGTCATTCAAGTTTCTAAACTTTCACACGTTCAATGTCTCCACTACTTTGCAAAATTTTGACCGCTGTGGGCACAACACTTCACTTGGGGTCATTTTATCTCTTCCTGAAGTACTTACAGTTATATATAGTAATTCCATTTCTGCCAACCGAAATGCAATCTAGAGTAATTTCCGCAGGCCTATGGCCATTTCGCAAAATAGCCCTTAGTAACATGAACTTTTACTCGCTTTCATCGGTCAGAACAACCTCCACAAGTTCTGCGTACAGTATTCACCGAAAGCATTTCCCGTAGTGATGGCATTCCCTGTCTGGTGTCATTTCGAGGTGCTGACTCTGCAATCCGCCGTGTAGCGAGTAAATTCTTCATCTGGCGGTGAGCATCTGTTTATCTATGCGGCCTTGTCTAATACTGTGTCCAGATTCCAAGAAACGAAGTCAAGACTAGAAACACCCGTCGCACAAATGCCTTCAAGCCAAAAACGTTTTTGATCTGGACCGCCGTAATTTCTGGGACCGCAGATTGTTCTCCCAGTAGACAATAAACCTCTTAGCAATACAGTAGATGGACTTAATCATGAAATATTAACCAAAATTCCTAAATGCGTTTTCGTTGTTAAACCGATCATTGTGCAGAATAATTCTATAGTATTTTAGTTAACTCAGGACGTTGGCTTTCGAAGTCGGCATCAGGATGGTCGTTTAAGTAAGCGCTGATGAGGAAAAGAATATCGTTAAGGAAGCGCAGTAACATACCGAGGAGATCCTCTTGAGATCATACCACACTTCCTCCAACTAAAACATGATAGTCAGAATAAAATTCGGGGAAAAACAACAAAAGGCAAGAACTAAGTAAGGTCAACAAGGATACGTACCCAATAAGCACGCTCGTCTGAAAAATAGGAAAGGAGGAGAAAAGGCATAAAAAACACGACAAAAAAGCCGGAAAAACTACAAAGGAAAAAGCTAACGCGGGGAAGGCAAAAAGCAACAGGGCCACAAAGAACCGCAAAAGAAGGCGGGCTGACAGGGCAAATGCTGTCCTCTTCGCTATTAAAATGACTTTAATGCTCAAAGAGTTATTTGGAAAAGTGTATGGAGCATTTGTTCATTCAAAAATTGGAATATGGAATCCAAGCATGGCGACTCTGGCTGAAAATGACTATTAGTTGCCGGAACGAGTTCAGAGGAGAGCGACCAAAATTGTGAAAGGCCTCAGGACTTTATCTTCCCGCTGTAGACTTGATGAGCATAAGCTATTTTCTCTTGAGTACAGGCAGATCCGAGGAGATCTCAAGCAGACCTAACGGATCGTAAGGAATCGAGACTGTGCCATTCGCTTCATTGATTTCTCCACCTTGACTACAAAAGTAAACCTGAGCTGGAACTTTCTTAAACATCAGGGAACCAGATCCCACATGGATGTTCGCGTTTTCACAGCGAATCGCCAGTGCCCGAAACGAGTTTTCAGAGGAAGTGATAATGGCGGACGTCGCAGGGATATTAAGACAAAGACTTCGTGTATATTTCCTTGAAGAATACCGCTTAAATCGACAGAATAGTACTGTTATACCAAATCAAATATTTGCACATATCACCCGCTAATGGGATGATTGATGATTCGCTGTATCGTTGTCCTCTAAGATTGGGCGTTATCAGGCTACAGCTACAAAATTCCAAGACGCATATTCGCCGTATTCAGCAACAAGTTTAAATGACGGGTAAATTTGCATGTAGAGGGTTAAAGAGGATAATTAAAGTACTGGAATAGCGAGAATATAGAATCAAATACATAGTGAAGTAAACTAAAAAGTAGTAAAAATAAAGAAAAAGGAAGGGTTAATGCTAAAAATAGTAACTGAAAAACAATAAGCTGAAAGAAAGAATGAATTGCACGCAAAAATTGCAATCACAGGACACAAACTGATTGACAGAAAAGTTCACATATAGAGCAAAAAATAACTATATCCACACGCGTGCGTGTCACTCTATAGAAAAACGACGCCTAAGGAAAGGCAAAATACCCGGGGCATTCTTCCAGCTGAAAAAGTAGAAAGCTAACATTCCGTACTCCGGCAAGTATATTAACTGTCTGCGTCATGTTCTCTGCGCTACGTTTGGCGCATCTGCATACCAAGCGATGCCGCCGTAATGACAGGGCCGTTGCTTACATGATTCAAGTGTTTCCGGCATCTCGGAGAACTGGCCTTGAAATAATCATTATGCAGCATAATTCAATAATTGTCCAAGTACCTCAGGATGCCGGCTTTCGAACGAACTCCTTCCGGGATGCATGCAAAAAGTATACTCAGTAGAAAATGACTTCTTGTTTAGCATGCATTTTCTCATCGATTTTCGATGCCCTTAAAAATTCAATTGTAAGTCTTGGAAGACATACATAAAACGTCTTCATTATTTTGCTCATTCGGTAGAAATCACGTCTTCTTCCAATGGTATATTCGAAGGGCGGGTCCAATTCGGCCGTGATATGCCTTTTCATAAAACTTCATGCCTTTGCATTTACCAGTGTGGCTTGTACAGTTAACAATTTGGCTCAAATCTACTGCTAAATTATATGAACTCCATATGGTCTCCTCTTAATACCGTAGAGATATGCATGGTTTTCCGCACACGGAAGATATACGGCTTGTAGTTTGGCAACCCTGGAAGTAAATATAACTGCAGATCGGGTTCAAAATTATCCGCGAATTGGAAACGTGTTGAAAACCAAATTATAGCTATTCTCCAAAAATGAGATTGGAAGAAGACGTAATATTTAACTGAATGAGCAAAAGTATGAATATTTTTATGCATGTGTTCTATGAACTATAATAGAATGTTTAAGGGCTTCTAAAATCGATGAGAAAATGCATGCTATCCAAGCCGTCCTTTCTTACACAGTATAGAATTTTCATGCAACAGAAAAGGAGTTCTTTCGAAGGCAGGCAACCTTAGGTGATTTAATTATCATAGAATTATGTTGCATATTGATTGGTTTTACAACCCTACTTAATTAAACCGCATTCCTGAATTCCATTTGATATTTCATGAGTTAGCACATCTACTGTAATTTTGCGTGGTCAGATGTTGATTAACGGTTGTTAGGGTGTGGGAACAAGTCAATGATCGTATACGTAGTCCCTCGTATTGAGAGTCTAGATGGACGTGCCGGTTGCTGCTGGTTGTGCCAGAATGTCATGCTTCGAGGAATTCTCGAGCCTAACTGGTGTTACCCATTGCCATCACTTCAGCACCGCTCCAATTGAAACGTTGGTCATACTAAAGGGCGTGAGCAAACACGAGAGACAAGGGGGGGGAGTCGCGACTGAGGAGGGATAACTTCTGCTCGCTAATGCGAGTCGGCCTGTATGGCCAATATATACACAAGTGTACTGGGCGCACGGTATGCAGTAGATGGGCTCAGTTATTTTTGATTGGTGGAGTGGATTGAGTATAGTTAGACATGACGCAATGACGAGAATGTGCTCACCAGGAAATTTTCCTGGAGGTGGAGTTGTCGTGATGGTCGAAAGGATTTCGCCAGAATGGCCTACGGGGAATGCAAAAGACGAGGAGAGGAAGTAAGACAAGTAGTGCAGCAAGTGTGTCAAATGGTAAGGACGCCATCGTAGAGGTCAGCATGAGATAACACAGGAAATAAAATTGCGAACGTCGAATGAATTCATGTAGCGCAATAAATAGCAACGGGCTAGGGTAATAAGAGGCTTAAAATGAGTGCGTAGAAACAAATCCAAAAGGGGCATTTGAAAACAACTACGAAGTCCTGCCTGTTTGCAGATCATAGCGAATAGCGAGAGAGGAATGGCGTAGGAAAATACGCTTACTAGGCGAAGATTGCTTTGGGGTCCACGCAGATTCGCCTTTAACCTCGGTTACGCTTTCTGCAAACAGAATGCAGGGAGACGATCATGGGGATTGCTGTCTGCCTCCCAACGTGCCGTGCTACACACAAATCTCACAGACCCTAATGTCATTGCCGTCCACACCTCCATTCTCATAATAATAATAATAATACTAATGATATATTAATATAATATATATATTATATTGGATGTGACTTATATCGCCAGATCACTAAGCCCATATGGATGTGTTCTCTCATTTGCTGACATCTCTTAAATATTCTGCAATTTGCATTGCCTCTGCCTTTTGCCCTTTCCTCGGTCTACAGTCTTAAATACTTTTATGCATTTTATCTTATTTTCTCACAGAGATTCAGCAATTTGCATCGTTTCTTCTTCTTGCTCATTTGTCCTCCGTCTACTTTCTTCCTTCAGTTTTTCCCTAGCCTATGCCATTTTTTCCATTCCTTGTTATGTCATGTTTTTGCCGTTGTTTCCTTTTACCTCCTATTTTCAATAATTATCTTCGTTGTCTTTGCTTACTTTTCATTGGTTCTGTTCCTGGTGGAGGTGTTTCGGTATGCGGCGGCAAAGTAGCTGTAACATAGAAATGGAAATATTTGTTATATTTCTCTGCTTCCCGGTTTTAATATGCTAACTGCTCGTTAGCTTTGCACTTTTTTCCTATTTTACTGCTTCAAATATTGTATTTGTTTTTTATTGCAATGTGTGCATCCATGCGCATTAGTCCCTGCAAAATTTTATGCTCATTTACTTTTATTCTTTCTGTTTTCATTCTGTTTGACTCATTCTTCCCCTTTTCTGTTATGCGTTTTTCCGTCTTTGTGGTCTTTAAAAAGTTCATTTCGTAATATTCTGAAGTAAATAGATTTACTGAAGTCGTTTGTGTCAATCCTGGCATTAACTAAAAATATCTGCATGGAACCCATCTTTTCGGCCTGACTAACTTATTTTTGTACTTAATTGACATTTTGTCCATGTGTCCTAGTATGCTCCGATAGGTACTTTTCATTTGCCGTTTGTTCTGCTATTGCAAACCACATTACTCTATTTTTACGTTCCCCTTTCTGAACTTTTCCGATTTTAAACACAAATTGGACCACTATTTTTTTTTTCTAAATTCGCTATTGCGTGTCGACTTTCATGCCAACACAATTTGGTTGCGCCATCATTGCTTTGAGGTTTGGAGTTTGCAGGTTGCACAGATGTGGCTTGCTTACTTTGAGCTGTATTTCTAAGTCATCTGTTTATTCAACCATTTTCTACGTCTCCTGATTTTAACATTTGCAATTACAGTGGAGCGGTTAAACGGTCGTCTGTGCGTGATAAGATAAACCATTTTGCTTTTATGCATCCAGTTTCTGTGAGCGAACACTGCATTTTGAAGGCATCAGATTACTTTATATACCGGTTAGTGTAGTATCCAGCGTGGAAAATTAAAAATGTGCAGGCATGTTTTTTTTTATCGGGACACTTACTTATGTGTTTTTAATTTAATGACGGGTCTTAATCTTATGACCTCCAGTGAGGTGAGGTTTAATGGAGCACTTACATGTGTGAATTAGTCTTACTCAAGCGAGAGGACTGACGAAAGGCAGTGTGTTAAGGTCCATGGTCAATTGTTCATACGACAGGCACACTCTGACTGACAATAGATTTCGACTTTTCGTACGAAAATATGTCAAACATGTGTTTAGGTTTGTTCATGAAAAAGCAGCGGTAGATGATGAGCAGGTACTTACCGTGGGTGATTATTCGCAACCGGCAGTTAATAGAGCATAATGTAATATTATGAGCCTTAAAAATCGAAGCTTGTTTGCCCACTAATCATCCTATGTAGAACCACTTATTTTAACCGGGAGGTTTGACTTCATTTGACAGTATTACTCATTTACCATAAGACCCGCACTTAGTGAATGTGAGCAGAAACCAAATCGTATCAGCAGTGAGGCATTAAATATTATAGTCACGAACTGGCTGTGATGGAAACAATATTGACGGACTTAAATGCATGCTAGGGGTTAATGTGCTAAAACTTCAAACATGCTTTCTGCACTTGCACTACCTGCTTCGTCAAGAGCCAATGTTATGTCTCAAAAATTAAGGCAAATACGCCTGAGATTCGCTGGCGACTTTCTAAATAAAAGTGAACTAAGTAAGTACAATAGGTTAAATAAAACCTCTTTACTCATCTCAATTAGGTGTCAACGTAAACCTGTTGTATGTCTAAATATGTAGTTTTCAGCCTGTCGCGAACATAACTACAGGTCAAGATATTGTCTTATTTGTCCCGTTGAAAATACCACGGACAAAGTTACACCAACGGTGAGTTGATCGCGCTTCTATGAGGTCTAAAAGGAGGAGGAAAAAAAGCGAGTTGTCATTCCTTCAATTTAAACCCAGTTGCGTCAATTTTAACTTTGTCTCTCTGGAAGTTTCATCGACGACAGAATCTGTCTTTACGGACGATCGATTAAAAACACTGTAAAGGATGAAGTATTTAACGATGTACCAACGCAAAATTGAAATTCGACGTAATCCAGAAAAACGAAAATAGGAAGCTAGTTTTACAGAACAGATTGTCTCTTTATATACACCTAAAGATTTGTTTGCTATTAAATCTGTCAAACCTACTTTAATCTATTAGTCAGCGACCGACCTGGCAATATGTGACCTTATAAAACTGTTAATCCTATGGCGTCCTTGTCGGCGAAATCAAGCAGAGTCCTGTCTGCCTTATTGAGCTGTACCTTAATCAATTCAAAAGCGTGGAAAATACAGTGAATTCGCAGGAGATCGTTTTGGAATTTATACTCCGAAGCGAGGCCGTTGGGAAACTGTCGTACCTGATAATACACTAATTCGTAAAGGATATTTTAATGTGAAGTGCACTGAAAGACCATGTTCAAACATTATTCTTTTTGTGCTGCCCGTCTTTTAACGGTTCCTTTCAAAATTAAATTTACTAAACTACAACCATTTATGACGTTCTCGGAAGTTTCCGCTTTGCGAAGAAAATTCGTATTACTACACATTGCAGTATTGCCTATAATATTTCAATTGTATTTTTTGTTGTATTAAAAATGCCCTTTATTACTGTCGATATTGAATCCATGCATTGGTGCTGGCTGCAACTAATTAGCAATCACTCGTAAATTTCGACACCTTTCATCCCTTAGGTGGCATACCGTACCATCTTGGCTTCAAGCAGCTCCTTATTATCAGGACTGCAGTATAGGCCTTAGGATCACTTGTGAGCTTAAAAAATCGTAGAGCTCAAAGGCATCAAGCATGTAAGCGGATTTTAGAGATACTTTCTTGATACCGAACTATGTCTGATCTACAAAACGGCACAGACATATGCCAGCATCTGCCATTCTTACAGGTTTTTGAAGACGCTTTAAATCACTGAAAGCCTTCTGTTTTGCTCAAGTGTCTTGCCCGTATCATAAGTACCCACCCTGTTGTCGCTGTTTCCGGAGGTATGTCTATTTTACAGTAGATGTGCTAACTCATGAAATGTCCGCCAACATTTCGAAATGCGTTCTCGTTTCGAAAATATAAATTAAGTAGTGTTGTAAAACTAATCATGATGCAGCATAAATCTATAATGACACAGTTACCGAGAGGGTGTCGCCTTTCGAAAGAACTTATATTCGGCTGAGTATAGGTCTAGCATACAGCCGAAACTAAAATCTTTCAAAAGCCGATACCCTGCGGTAACTGGATCATTATAGGCTTATGCTGCATCATGATTAGTTTTACAACACTACTTTATTTATCTTTTCGAAACGAGAACGCATTTCTAAATGTTGGTTGACATTTCATGAGTTAGCACACCTACTGTAGAGACTGTAATGTGCTAAGTATTGTGGTTAAGTTGCTTATCACTTTTTAATTGTGTCGCAGTGTTCTGATGCTGCTGTTTTGCCGCCAAGCATATACAATGGCGAAAACTGAGTAAATAATACTGCGTTCAATTTTCGTACGATAAACATACTGCCACGAGACATACGCTAAAATTATGAGTAAAAACGGTTTCCCATAACCTGATGTTAGCTGCACTTTTTCAAGTCACGGATGCTACACAAGGATGGGTAAATATCAGCCTCCGAGTCAGCTAAAGCTAAAAACCTTTAATAGTATTAAACTTTGTGCGTCTGTAAAGTTAGAAAGGAATCGGTGATCCTGGTGTGGTACAATCGGTCGATAGCAAGTGCAACCGGATAAATTATGCCTATCTTTCTAAAAACCTTTTAATCACCCCTTGTGTTCTGCGTGAGTATTCTCTTTGGTACAAGCATGGAGCATCGAGCAATTTTGATCAATTCGAAGGACTGACCTACCATCCAATTGTGATCTCACATAAACAAATATAAGTATGTTAAGTTAGTTACCCTTAATCAGAATCTGATTCCAATCTATTAATGACTCTTTACATTGAGGATATTTATAATCCCTCGCCACCCAAGAGATGTAAAAGTACTAGCACGAAGAGAGTCTAACAAACTATACAGAATGCTTGCTGGCTATTTCCGAACATAAGATAATTCAGCATCATAATTTTAAGGCAGATAGTAAATACGAAAAATTTGTTTAGAACAGTGTGAGAAGCCGGTTGCAGTCATACGTAGGCGCTTACTATTTAAACCTAAAAAAAGCCAACTTATACCGGCGCATATGAGCAAATAATCACCAACTTACAGAAAAGCAGAAGAACCAAAATCGCGTGTTTCATTCTGTTGGCTTCGTGAGATCTGAGAGCCAGAATGCTGCGCAGCGATTTATAGATGTAAGTCTTTCAGATTTGAAGGTCATTGCTGTCAGTGGAAATCCATTAAATTAAATTTGATTAATCAGGCGCAGACAGGCACCTGTCTGCAAAACAACAGCTATTGGGTCCATCCAGAAAGAATACGTTACTTGAGAATGGCAGCGTATACTTGTTGAAATTTGCCTGACCATTCTTTGAAGTTTTACACCAGAAGCCGCATAGATGAGGCTCGAGGGCCCTCTAAGGAAGGGGGGGGGGTGGAAGACCGTCAAACTCGTGGCGTGCGTGTAATTCATCCACTGACGTGCAAAGTGTGGAAGGTAGGGGGGTTCTTCATGTGAATTCCTTTCAACCACACCCAATCTAACCGCATGTGCTGCAGTTAATTGCATATTCACCATATTGCAGTTTTTCTATGGAGCTGTCACGTTGAGTTCAGTGGTCGGAAGTGACATTTACTGTTGAACAGGCAAGAAATTCTTAAAGCCTAACTGATGCCTGTGATTTCCTCCAGAATTGTGCTTGAGTGCTAGCACAAGTCTGCCCGCGGGAACTATGCGCGACATCCCAGAAGGTCACTTGAAGACCATTTGCCCAGCAATTCAGACCATGTTGGTCAGGAGAGTGATCTAGGCTGAACTGGTCGCGGTCTGAATACGTTAGCGCACTTCCAAGTCTTCAAACACTGGTGTTTCTCTTTCAGACTGAAGAGTACAATGCCCCTCATTACTTGGCAAATAACGTTTTGAAAAAGCACGATAGCAGACGCAGGTTTCCAGCAATTCATCATCATGCCCATACAGTTAAATATAACTTAAAATTATGAGAAGTTTACGGGGTTTATATATACAGTAGGTGGGATAACTCACGAAATTTCAACCGAAATTCCGAAATGCTTTTTCGTCTTGAAAAGATTAACTAGATAGGCTTGTAAGACCAATCATCATTCAGCGTGGTTCTACAACAATTCAGATACCTCAGGATTCTGGCTTTCAAAAGAACTCCTTTTCAGTTCCATGCAAACCCATACTCCGTAAGAAATGACTACTTGCGTAGCACGCATCATTCTCCTTGACTTACGATGTCCTTAGATATTCATTTATATTTCATAGATAACATGTATAAAATATTTATTCTTTTGCCCATTTAGTAGACAAGGACGACTTCTTCCGATTTTATATTCGAAGGAAGGGTATAATTTGGCTTGTAAGATTTTTTAATACAATTAATTACCTTCTATAAAACTTCGTGTTTCTGCATCTACCAATGTGATTTGTAAAGTTAGCAATATGGCTTACATTCACTGCTAACGTTAGTGCTCTCCGTATGGCCTCCTGTTAATACCGTAGAATAATGTATGGATTCCCGTAAGCGAAAATTGTTCGGCTAGTAGATTGGTAATCCTGGATGCAAGCATAACGGCAGTTGGGGGTCAAAAGCATTCGGGAAATGGAACAGTTTTTAAAAACCGAATTACACCCTTAATTCGAGTACTAACTTGAAAGAAGACGTAATTTTCCACTCAATAAACAAAAGAGGGGAGGGTTATGCATGTTTTCCAAGAAATACAATTGATTAGTTAGATGGTAGTTGGTAGCCCTCCCGGTACCGAAAACTCCCAGCTACCTGACTTCCGGGACCGGTGGTAATAGGGGCTATACGGGTAGGGCAAATGAGTGGATGCGTAAATGGCGCTTGTAGGGAATGCCTGGAATTGACGATCCTGATAAAGTGAAAACCTAAGTTAAACAAGGTGAAAAATGCGAGGAAGGTAAACACTTCGGATCTGACTGACGTATGAGACGCCTTGCTGTTGTAGTCTGAACCCAAGAGGTAGTAAGTGCGCGATGTCGTAGGTGAAGTGCGCCCAGTTCAAACCCAGCAATGTCGAAGCGCCCGGGGGGAGGGGGGGGGTGCCGTAGTGCCTTAAACTGGAAGTGCAGGAAAGAATCGCTAATTGGCCATGGCGGTGTTTACAAGGCGTCACGGTTTTCAGCCAAACCCCTGCAACCAAATACAACCGGGCTGTTCATGAAGACGGGGCCAGTAGGTACAATTGTAAAATCAGTGGGCAGGGCTACCAACTACCATTCTGCCCAATTGAATTTCCAACCGCATCGAAAATCAATAAGAAAATTATCTACTATTAAATAAATCATTTTTTCACGGTAGATTTTTTGCATGCAGCCGGCAAAAAGTTCCTTTGAAAGCCAGCATCCTGAGGTCATTAACGTATTGTAGAATTCTCCTACGTGGTGATTAGTTTTGCAGAGTTACTTATTTAGTCTTTTCAAAACTAAAACGCGTTTCGGAATTTTGGCTGACATTTCATGAGTTGTCTGACCTACTGTATCTCAGGTAGGTTATTAACACCATTCGTTTCCACGTCATTCGCATGACGACGACATTGAGACAAGTGGGTAAGTGAGGGAGGGCAGACATAAAACGCCTTTTCGCGTCACTGTAAGAGCATGTAGGGCCCATTTGCAGGCAAAACGACCTGCTCTTATGATAAACAGCATGCGCATCTAGATCATCAGCAGACTAAGTAAGACAATAGTCCAACTATCGAAATGTTGCATGAGAGTTGATAAGAAGCATGTAATCAGCCATCTCCGCAGAAACCGACCAACCTCCCAAAAACATTTTCGTTTCTATTCAATTTCTGTACGCTAAACGCTCTGATGACCAAACCCTGTGATGTGCACACAAAATGAAAAGGGCCTCCGGTTAGATTGCATTTGGTATCCAGGAATGGAGAGGCAGACGGCCGGGTCCCTGTCTTACCGGAATGGTGGGAAAGGGGATTATATGGGTGGGGGAGAGAGAGAGGAATGCTTTATTTTGAAAATAACTTTCAAATCCTTCAGCAAAAACGGTTCTCCTGTACACAGTGATTACCATAGAGATTAACAGGTATTGGACAGGTGGACATGATTATATATGAAGAAAAAAGGACTTTAAGGTGCAAGATCGAGTTTTAGTTTTTGTTTTTCAACATCTTTGCGGGTGAGGTACCGGGCTAGAAATGGCAGTATGGAATTCCGATAGGCCGAAGTGCGGTAAGGGATGTGGCGGAAGCATCGACGCATGGGGAGTAAGGATTTCGCAGCCATTAACTCATGATGAAGGGAATAGATGGTGTCATTCAGAATTCGGTCCGCGAATTGCTCCACCGAGTTGAAGTGTCGCTGCACGGTGATATCAACTAAAATATGATCGGAAACACCAGCAGCAGATGCGAGCATTCGAATGACACGTTTAAAAATAATTAGATCTCTTTTAAGTAAAGCTGGAAAAATAACTGAAGAACAATATAAAATGAGTGGAAGAATACAGCCATCTATGAATCGCCAGATTAAGGACTGGGGTGTGTGATATGAACGTAGACGACGAATGTAATAAATGAGTTTTTGAATTTTTGTTAAAATGGTTTCCATATGAAGATAGAAAGAGAGATTTGAGGATAATGTAACACCTAGGTACCGGAAAGAAGAAACCTAATTGGGAAGAATATCCGAAGGTTTAGGAATGGGAGAGGGTCGCAATCGAAACACACATTGTACTGATTTCTGATTGTTGAGTAGGAGTCCATTATTTGTAGACCATGCGGAGACGTGATCTTAGATATCCTTTAAAGACTGCAAATGAGTCAGGTTTTTTGAGTGGGTGGCCTACGACCATGTCATCGGCATACTTAACATACAGGCAGTCGTTTGGCGATCTCAAATCATCAGTATTTAGGGAGAAAAGACGAGGGGATAAGATGGAACCTTGTAGAACTCCACAATTATTTGGAAGAATAGAAGATTTTCTCTTTCCCGACTGGAAAAACCGAGTGCGGGAGGAAAAATAATCTCTAAGCCAAGAGACAACCCAGCTCGGAGTGTCACACGCAGCTGCTTTGGTCAGGAGGAGTTGGCGCGGAATAGTGTTGAAGGCGGATGAGTAGTCGAGAAAAGCACATGCATATGCACGTCATCCCTTGGTTTAAGTCTCTCAAAGCTGAATGAACAACTAAATCAACAGCATCCAAGGTGCTACTCTTTGCCTTGTATGCAAATTGTAGAGGATCAGAAAAATTGACGGAGGAGTACTGAAGGGAATCTAATGCAACTCGTTCAGTAAGTTTCAGGAGTGCAGAAGAGCAGGTAATAGGACGTAAAGACTTAGGAGCAAAAGTTAAAGATTTTTTAGGGATTGAAGTAATTCTTACTGTACGCCAGGCTTCAGGAATCTTGGACTCTATGAAGGATAGATTTATAAGGTGGGGCAAGACGGGAGCTATCTGCGAACAGCAAGACTTAATGAGAAAAGGAGAGACACCGTCCGGCCCAGCCGCCGTCGACCCGCGAATCTTTTTGAGATGTTGTTCCACTGTTGTCACAGTCACAGGAGTAAAGTCACATGGTTATATGTAAATTTCGTTTGGGCGAGAAGGGGAGTCGTTAGAAGAACAGATAAAATTCTGATTTAAAGAGTTTAAATCTACGTCAATGGGTTCAAGTATATTACGTTGACCAGTGAGACGCTTAAGATTCCTCCACAGTTCAGCAGAAGGAAAAGGAGAGGAGGGGGTGGATGAAGTAGAAAAAAGTTGACTAACGAATAAACCGTTAAGTCTGGCAATTTTGTTCTTTATTAAAACATTGATATTCTTCACCTTGTCCCGCTGACCTAGTTTGTGGAAGGCTTCTTTGCGACGTCTTAAGTGTTTGAGGTATGGTGAGGAGATTCTGTCAGGCCTGACCGTAACACTTTCATGGGGACAACAAATATCAAAAATGTGATTAAAAAATAGCGTAAGATAATTAGAGCATAATGCGGCATTTGGTAGTGCTAGAAATGTTGGAATGGTTCTAGTAATTGAACTCTGCAGTAAGTGAATCTTATCTACGGATGTGTCGCGAACAGTAATTTTTTTCTCGGGTTTTGTAAGCAGTTGACGCTTTGAGGTGGAATAGACTTTTGGAAGTCCTAGTAGCCCTGAGTGATCAGACTCGGAGAGTAGAGCTCTATTTTTAATACAAAAAAGCTTTGGGTAATTGGTCAAGATGTGATCAATAGGGGCATCAGCCCGTGTATTGAATGAAACAACGTCATCAAAACCCATAAGAGTAATGGGCCGAAAACTCACACGGTTAAAATCACCGCACAAAAGAATAAGATGGTCTGAGGATAATGAAGCAAGTTTTTGTGTGAGGAAGTCAAAAAAGCGGCCCAGAGAGCCTTCGTTTGTGGAAGAGGGGATGTAAATACTGACAACTATAATACCCTTAAAGGTTTTTAACAAATGGGGCTTACAGATAACAGCAATTACATCAATTAAATCACCAGAATATGAAAACAGGGGCTTACAATTAAAACACTAGTCTTGATTGAAAAAATGGCCACTCCTCCACCTCTACTGCCTATTGGAGATGCTCTATAATTTCGAAAACAACAAAATGTCGAAGGAGTGATAAGTTCCGAGTCAATATCGCTATTCAACCACGTCTCCTAAAGGCAAATTACTCCCGTTTTGCCATGTTCTATGGTTGACAGAAGTAATTCCAAATCATGGGCTTTGTTAAATATCGATCGACAGTTAGTCGAAGGAAAACCCGCGATTTGCAACTTGTTTTTAGGCTGGCGTTTAAGCGCAACTTGCCATCCACAGCGATGTTGCTTTCGAAAAATTGGCCTTTGCTGATACGAGCGTGGGAAGGCCAGCGAGGAAGGACGAGAAACAGGGCAAGCTGTCAGAGTGTAACTGCTGCTGGCACGGTGAGTTTGTTGCGTTTGGGAGCGTGAGAACGCCAACGCAGGACAATCGCAGAAACGACAAATTGGCCGCAAAGTGCAACCACTAGAGTCATGATCAGGAGGCGGAAAAATCGATGCAGAAATGTCGCAGGGTTTAAGCTCCTTTAAAAAGGTGCTAGCGTACTGTAAAGACAACCTCATAGGAATAGATCAATTAACACAAACGAATAAGACTGGGTATGCAGGTGGGGTAACATAAATTGTTGCTTGAGGAATTCTAGAGTTTCGGGGAAAAAAATTAAACAAAAAATCTTTGGAACTTCTTGGAAGGTAAAGTAATGGCAGAAACTTAAAAAAAATCGCGCGGAAACTAGCACAGCCTGCGGTAGATGAAAGAGGTAACTGGCGATAGGATAACACTTACCTTAACCCTAATCTTAACCCTAACCCTTGCACTAACCATAGTCCTGACCTTAACCCTAAACCTAAACTTAACCTTAACCCTTACCCTAATCTTAACCGTTAACCACTCATCGTTAACCGGTAACCCTAACCCCGAAGCCGAAACCCAACCCAAAATACAAAGCATAATCTTAAACCTAAACCCTTAACATAACACAGAAGCCGGACCCTATAACGCAGTTCCTAACCCTAAAGCATAACATACGCCTAACCATAACCCTCACTAAACCCAAAAACCTGACCAAAACGGCCGACATACCTCACGCAGTAGAAGCACACCTACGGATAGCAAGTTCCCTCGGCAAGGTAAACACACCCACTGATAACAAGTAAGCACGTCAACGGTATCAACGTACAGTGCCTGCCTACCAACTGCGATCTTACCGGACCTCCTTCGCAACCAATTACATATCAAAACGGAACCCCATTGTCCGATTACGCGCCTTCCGGCAAAAGGTCACCTAGGACCTTCAATTTCAAACAATCAAGTAGAGTGACTGTTAACGCACATTTGGGACACGGAGGGCCTCCGGTGAACATCTAAGAGCAACTTTCTTCGGCTATATACACATTACTGAAAAGTGGATTCCCCTCAGTATCAACCTCGAGCACACGAAGTCGCCGCAAAGATCACTGTCGTCATCGCTGGTAGCAACTGCCCCAGGCACTCAGCGGAAACAGCACCTTCCTGTCATTGCTGTCAACGCTCATTTGCGTCACGCATCGTACCTGCTGGGGAGATGTGATTTCGTCGTAACGAGTTTGACTGGTTCCACGTAAGCACACGTCAGTTTCATCATGGTAATTGCTTTAAACCACACCCAATCTAACCAGGTGTGCTGGAGTTAGTTGCATCATCGTCGTATTGCAGACACCCTGCGATTTAATCATGCACTATGAAGCTATGTGGCTGAGAGTGTTACATATCATGCCCTTGCCAAGTCACAAAGTATTCTAAAGTCCTACCCAAACGGATGCTAGCAGCAGCCGAATGATTAGGATTCGGTCAGCAAATCCAACTTTGAATTACCAGAAGACAGTCTGTCGCCTGGCCGAACCCAGTTTGTGATTGCACGCTGCCCAGTGTCCTGAGAACAATCACGCCCAACCTCGACCATTCCCCCAGCTCCAACGTCCTTAAGACCCTGACTTCGTCGTGTATTCGGCGTGGGAATAAAGCGTGTAACTAATCTTCCCCGAGACACATGAAAGTTGAACCAGCGTTGTCGACGCTGTCATCCTTGTGCTCCTACACCAGGGGAAATAGGGTCGGTGACTTGCGCGTTAGTTAAAATCGTAGTGGCGTAGAACCGCACCACCCTACACAGACCAGCATTTAACTCAGCAAATGGGGAGGTGGACGGTTTGGATCCCACAGACTGCAGGTGCCAGGGAGACTACATTAAGAAGGAGGCAGATGCGCATGCTGGGTATACAGGTGGTGGGCATGATTGCCCAGTCATCATTCTCGTCCTTCTGACCCCTTTTGGCGTGTTGTTACTTATGAAAAATCTTGGTTATTTATGTGTGTTTTGGACCAGGGCGGTTTGTTGGCACGCTATGATGCGGGTCCGGCCGATAACACTTGGGGTTGGGTATGACTGGCTGATGACGGCTAATAAGCCAGAAATGGCCATTCCGGTCTCCCTTGTCTTTGTCGGTACCATATCTTCTATGTGTACTACTAGTCGCTGGGCGACTGCCTGCGAGGGTTCTCGTATGAGCCCCAAGGCACAACGGAACGAGCATGTTCCGTAACCAGATCGGCGAGAGCCCACTGTCAAAATTAATATTCCCGATAACAAACGACATGACAACGGGCCCGTGGCTCAATGGTAGAGCGTTCAACTCCATGACCAAAGATCCCGGGTTCGAATCTCAAGTGATCCACACTTGGGGTTGGGTATGACTGGCTGATGACGGCTAATAAGCCAGAAATGGCCATTCCGGTCTCCTATATCTTTGTCGGTACCATATCATCTATGTTTACTACTAGTCGCTGTGCGACTGCCTGCGAGGGTTGTAGTATGAGCTTCAAGGCACAACGGAACGAGCATGTTCCGTAACCTAATTGGTGACAGCCCACTATCGTAATATAAATATATATATGTTGTTGGGTATGGCTGGCTGGGTATGGCTGGCTGACGACTGCTAATAAGCCAGAAATGGCCATTCCAGTCTCCCTTGTCTTTGTCGTTATATCATTCTGCCCATATAAATATATCGTGAATTTTCAAGTCGTTTAGGTAGATTATCGCACTGGGAAGCTAGGGAGACATCGATGTTATATCGACAAGACAGACGTTTATGTGTGGGGGTGAGAAACGTGTTTGTATAGGTGGCGGATGTAAGGGGAGGTGTTGAGAGTTTCACACAGGCTTCACTCTGTGGGGGAGGTGCTGAATCCGTGATATCCTATATGGCCGAATATGGATTAGCATTTGGTGTCTTAGGGTGTGCGCAAGCCGTCGAACCGTGGACGTAGGCCTTCGTAGTGAGCGTCCAAGACGACATGGCGTTTGATAAATAAATAAATACATTTTTATTTAATGCCAGTTTACAGGCATTGTCAAGGGGAGCGATTAAACATAAATCCGACCGGCAGCAAAAAAAACTCCTGATCTTAAGGGATAAAAATAAAGATGATGTTGGTATTTGTGGTTTGGAGGGCTCAGGAGAAAAAACTGCCGGCGGTGGGAGAATATCGACCGTCAAGAAGGGGGGAGGTTGCACGGTATCGGAGATCATCGGACCTCAAATTCCTTTCATGAAGTTGGGGATAGTCAAAGTAGAGGCGTTGAGGAACAGCTGGTGAGACCGTCCATAATGTTCAGAGACCACAAACGCCATCGCTACGGTACAGTCGATCAGTAGATTCAGCACCCAAAGTTTGTGGGAGCTTTTCTGAATGCAAACATCGAGTAATAGTTCTCTTAAATAAAGGATAATTTTGCAGAGTTCTCGCACTCATGGGTAGTTTATTCCAAATAGCAATTGCATTTACAGAAAAGAACCGACGCACATGGCACTTGTAATGCAGTGTATTGTGGTCAAACCCGAAAATCCGCCTCTACACGCCTACATGAACACCAATTGGCAGTGAAGAGGCGGGACCACTTATCCCAAGTCGCCATGCATACTCTTGAAACTGGGCACAAATTCGCTTGGGATAAAACACGCATTGTCGGTTCCTGCCCATATAAGAAAGGCCGAGAATTCCTAGAGGCCATTCACTCTGATGATTCATGCATCAATCGACGCATCGACCTTGATACGATGTACACAAATCTCAAAGAAAAATGGAAAAGGCAATAGCCAATCAAGGCGTGACATCAGCCCAGAGCATTAACACATCCTCAGCCATGACAGAGCAATATCGATTTTTTCGGCAGTGTTTAAATTTTGACTGTTTCTTCACACTTACTACACGTCTGAAGACGAGCTGGGGAACCAGACTCGAAAATTTACGAAATAAAGTTTGTTCATTTCCCCAAAGGACTCATTCTTCTTCGAAATATATATATATATGTTAAAAGTATTATAACGTACTCCCGACATATATACTTGCTTAAAGCCCAGATGCGGTTTTGGCCGATATTCTGCCGCTGCGTAACACAGCTGCGAGGGGTTCGGCTCTTCAGTGGAACCCCCAGCGTTCTCTAGCGGTTTCCGGTATATGAACTCCAGAGAATAATCAGGTGAATAATTTCAGAAATTAATCAGTGCAGAAATTGGCGTTAAATCTCCGGGACATGACTTTTTAGGGTCAGAACCGAAATTTCAATGAACATTTGAGTCGAAGACAATCAACTACTGTGGAATAACCACGTAATGACCATTCTACAAACAAGTAGTACTACAAGTAGTATGAATTTCATATGGTAAAGTTATTATACCGTACTCCAAACCTAGATAATTGTTACAAGCCTATATATATGCGTAATTAAACATATCAATAGTGTTTCGCATTAATTATCCCATTCATTTTCACTAAGTGATGATGAAGATGAAAAAGAGACGATTTCAATGGCCGCGCTGTATTTTTTGTTGACGTTTCCGAAGATTCCTTATTGCATTATTAGAATAATGGAGTGTCTGTTCCTGCCAGCCTAGATTCCTTCTGTCTCTCAGCCTGTCTTGGGTTATAGGCATGCCGGACGCACAAACGCTGCTCTGCTTTATGGCTGATGATTATCGTTGGTCTCTTCGTGGCCAACCACTGGCACACTCGTGTGACCTCTGCCCCCTGTCCGGCTGTCGTAGTCGCAGCAACGTCCGTGTGTTCTTGGGCCCTCGCCTCACGCCTCACCTCCGGCCGACGCTCTCATCCTGCTGTGAAGGTGGCAACTGTTGTAGGAGTCGCGACTTGTTCGCCTGTGCTGTCGGCCCTATTTCGATGGGCTAGAGTCGTCTACGTAGCACCTGGTACGCCGAATGAAGATCCCTGGTTCTGTTGATTTTGCCAACCGAGGACCAACTTTCGAACACCAGTCTGATCATTTTGTTATTGGTTCGGACGATGGCGCTTGATTTCCCGAAGGCGAAACTGTGCTTCTCCTGCTGTATGTGCCCATATACTGGTGACAGTCTATCCTCGCGGTTGAATGCATATTGGTGTTCATGCAGTCGTATGCAGAGGAATTTACTGCTCCACCATCATACTTCGAGCTGTAGGTTTGGAATGGTATGGTGTAGACCACTTATAATTGTCCCGTTCTCGATAGTGGATCTTTGGAACTCATAAGCTTGATATTAATGCTCGCTTACGATCATCAGCGGTCATTACTCTGAAATAAGCACTGACACTTATGGCATAAATTTGCCAGGAATTATTATCTGAACATACCATGCGCGGCTGTGCGGCTTTTGGTAGGACTCGAAAGAGGGCCTGTAAGACACATAGGAAAGTGTGAGTTCTGTAAGAACGATCGGTGAGCGTCCCTCTATCACTGATGGCATTTGTTGAACACTAAATAATCGTCGAAATCTCACACTATATCTGCCACATCTGGTTAGGTAGATCACTAATTGTCCCTCAAATTACCACAGTACGAAGTACTGCCTAAGTAGCATTCGACACATCCACACCTGTTGAAAAAATTGTCCGAGACCTGCTTACTCTAAAATTCGTTGTCTTCCCATCAGGAATTTATTCTAAAACATGAATTGACAAACCAGGATCAACGGGAGACCTTTCCAGGCGCGTGAAACAAACCCATTATAGTCTACGAAAAGGTATGCGTTTTGGAAGACGAAGATAAGATTGTTGGAACAAGAAATATATTGGCTTAAAGTTTCACATTTTACCTCCGCACAGTTCAATCGGCTGTGCTCCGCAGTTTTGACGCATTTACGGAGCTTACGGAGGCGGTAGGAAACAGATGTACTTTCAGGCCTAGTATTAGACGTTACTTCCTTGTTTTCCTATGTCAATCCTGCATATTGTTTCCGCGTTATCTGCACGTACTTTCAACATAATTGAAAAACAGCCACTAGCTTGACATATACCTAACCGTAAGCATATCGCCACGATGCCCTTGTATTACAACAGATGAGTGTTTGTGATTTTGTAGGAATTGTGCCATCTTTGGAGTAGTTGCGCACTCACATTGAGCGCATCTCAAATACACAACGTCGTCGTCGTCGCTGTTTGAATCTCAGTCCGAAAACTAATTTGCCCGTATACTTGGCGCTTTCTGGGTCACCAAGTAGGACTTGGCTTGGGGAAGGTATTCTCCTTTCACTTTTAGATGTCCATGTTTGAATGAACCCAAATCTAGGGTTTCACCACTTATGACTGCATGATCACAGAACTAAATCTGCACAGGGGAGAGGAGGTTGGCTTGTTGGCTGTAGAAGATCGGCAATTTATTTGCCAACGAGATCTGCGTCATCGGATTTTAAGTATGTGTCCCTGAAGCCTAGGACAATGTTGAGGATGTTGGCATCCTTTGTCAGGTCAGACATTTGCTGATTAATCAGACATTCATGGGAGTTCACGTAAACAAAAGCGACCTGTTCATAGTGCATTAGACAGAACGATGCATCCAATTAGTTACGACCGAAGACCACCGACGTACAAAAATCCCATAGAGATTAAAGAAAGCTGAGCCAGTATTATGGGGATCAATCAATAAGTATAGACGTTTAATATGGTATCGCCCGGCCATCTGTAAGCTTAACCCCAAAATTTCGTCTGATGCAATGCGGTAACAGTTACGTTCAATTCTGATACACAGGATGCGTAGGTACGCTCTAAAATCTGACTGAATATAGACTAGGTCAAAAAGGAAAAAAGCAGAAAACTCGAAGACTAAGCGAAAATACAATATTTTTTGAATTAGATAACGAAGAACAATATAAAAGAATAAAGTGGGAGAAGAATACAAGCGAAAAAAAAATAAGTAGAAAATAAATCAGAAAAAAAGACGTTAGATGTCGAAGCGGGAAATGAAGACGTAGATTGATCGTCAAGGTAGGCTTTCTGCAAAGTACAAAATTGCAGGGAAACCATCATGAGGATTGCTGCTTGCCTTCCAAAATGCTCTGCCTGCACACTAATCTCACAGGTCCTAATGTGAACACACCACTATCATATCTATACCCCGCTCATCTCTCTCTCTCTCTCTCTCTCTCTCGCTGTCTGTCTGCAGACAATTACAGTCTGAGTAAAGGTAAACTTTCCGAGGCATAGCCTATGCCTGCTTCCACCTAAAGAAACGGAAAGCTAACATTCCGTCCTCCGACAGGTACATTAAATGCCTACTTCATGATCTATGCCCTGCGATTGACGCATCTACATATTAAGGAATGCCGTACTAAGAGGCGGACTGTGCTTCCTGCCTGTCCGGAATTTTGCCTTTCTTCGTTTAGTTTTTTCCTTAGTGCCTTTTGTGCTGTAGACTATTGTTTTTTGGTAGTTGTTCGATGCGTCTGTTTTATTTTTACTCTGTGCTTACATCTTTTTTATATCGATTTCTGTTTTCCCATGTGTCTTCTAGCCTTTTTTGGCTTCAATACGGAAGAACGTCCTCCAACATCTGATTTTTCGACAGCTGAGGAGGAGTTATTTCACACACTGCCGTTTTCAGAGGATCCGCCGAGCTAACTCCTACATCATAGCTTAAACGCTGCAATCGCGCGCACGTACCCAGCCGCTAAGACAAGACCGGTTCTTACAAGCACTCCGCTTCTTCTCCTTGAAGGTAGGAATAGACTGCCCTTCGGAACTCTTCAGTGTGCATCTACGTCTCCATTTTTTTCTGTGGGGCAGGTTAAATTGATCGAACAGCTAGGCTCCTATCCATCCTGCGTGGCTGAACCAAGGTGGGAGAAAGTCCATTTCTAGCGCAACTGTGGATCACTTGGTTGACAGTGGCCATCGGGTAGACGTTAACCGACTCATCTATATAATTTCGGCAAGAAACTCCTCGTTACTGCGTCAGCGGACAATTGCGACGACATAGACACTAGCCATATGGCTAACCAACCCAACATTGTGCGTTTGTACAGGTTCTAAGGTTCCCCTGCGCAAAGACAAACCCAGTTTAGAATTCTTTGTAAACTGAGTGACGCGTATAGGCCAAAACACATTTCGGTGTATATACGGTACTATTGATAAAATAAGGTAATAATAAAAAACTTACAACCCTCAAAAATGGATACCCTAGACAAGGCATTCCTTTGTTACTGTTCGAGCAAATCGAATTCCCAGCTCAAGGTTAGAATACAAAACGAGTTAATTAAAAGAACGCCGATCACGTTTTGAAAAGAGCTACAAAAAGGGAGAAGGGGAATGTCAACAGGGGCTAAGTGTGGAAGCAGTTGCGAGGAGGGCGTGAAGAATTTCAAAATTCGACCAAATAGATAAAACGATTACTAATAGAAACGTTCTTACAAGCGCGGGAGGCACCTGGTTTGTCTAGTCCGAGAGACTGTTGCGTACCGTCTGATTCATTCTTCATCGAACGTGTCGGCATTTGATGCAACTAATTTCCTCCAATTTGTGGTCCATTGTTGAGTACTGTGGAATTCGTGGTAAATGAAGTCACGGGTATAAGCCAAAACAGATTTCGGCCTGCATACGTTATTATTTATAGAATACAGGTAATAATGAAAAAAGGTACAAGCCTCAACAAAGGGAGGATGGCCCTTCGTCATTCGCATAAGGAAGTGCTTTTTCAGCCGGATTACGAACCGACAGAAAGACACAAGATGGGGGAGCTGTGGACAGAAGAGGGGGAGAAGGGGTTGAAAATAAAGGAAGGCAAGATAATACAGATCAAACGATCGTTCCTGTGGCTAACCCCCTTTGTAATCAGGGCCAGTTTCCCCCGAGAAGACGGACACTAAAGGTGCTGTATTCGAATGTGCAGAGCCTGTTTAACAAGATGGATGAACTCAGGACTCTGATCGACGAGCACACGCCAGATATCATCGCCTTGACAGAAACATGGCTCTCTGAAGCTATTGGAGACCATGAGGTATCCCTCAGAGGCTATCAACTGTTCAGAAGAGACAGGAGAAGCCGAGGAGGATGGGTCGCTGTCTATGTTAGCTACAACCTAACCGCGGTCCCCGAGCATAATCCAACAACAATAGCGGAAGTCGAATTCCTATCTTTAACTATCTCCAACAAATATGCCAGGCCGCTGGCGTTTGCAGTTGTGTATCGCCCCCTAAACCAGATTTCCGAACACGATAGCCTTCTCCTAAGGGAACTGAGCAAGACCTGCTCGAAAAGAGACGTCCTTATTGTAGGGGACTTTAACGCCCCCAATATCGACTGGCAAGCTTGGACGGTTGCGGGTCCATCGAACACATTCGGACAACATTTGCTTGAATTGGCAGCAGAAAAACTACTTTTCCAGAATGTAACTCTCGGAACACGTGTTAGGGAAGGGCAACGTTCAAATTGCCTCGATCTGGTGCTCACTCGAGATGAGGAGAGTGTGCTGGATATACAAGATCTCCCGCCAATTGGTGCTAGTGATCATATTGTGATGCTCTTCGAGTATTCCATGTTCTCCCAGCCTAATTCACTGAACAACTACAGGCAAATATCTGGAAGGAGGATTTTTCTAGCATGCGAACGCAAGCCGCAGCAATACCGTGGACAACCACATTACAAGGAACAGTTAATGACTATTGGAGCACGTTCAGCTCACTGGTCAAAAGAATCGTTGATCTGAACTGTCCACTCAGACGAAAGAAAACTAGCAACCGTCTGCCGTGGATAAACCGGAGACTTCAAACCGCGTTTAAGAGGAGAAATAAAGTGTGGAGACTCTATCGACAAACAGAAAGTCCTGAAGTCCTGGCGGAATACAAGCGACAGCGGAATGCGTGTAAACGTGAGGCTCATAGACTTCGATCCAGACTGGAACCCGATAACTACCATCCTATTAGTTTAACCTGCATTCTATGCAAGGTAATGGAACGACTTATTAAAGGGCATTTAATGTCGTATCTGGAGCAGAGGGACCTGTTATGTGCTGCTCAGCACGGATTTCGTCGTGGTCACTCCTGTCTTACAAGCAGTCTTTACTCTCAGGAAAAGTGGACAAGAGCCATAGGCCAGGGCCGTCCAGTGGACGTCATCTTCTTTGACTTTAAGAAGGCGTTTGATAGCGTTACTCATGGACGACTCCTACAGACGATTTGGGAGTGTGGAATACAGGGCAGCATTTTTAATTGGATTAAAAGTTTCCTGTCATGCAGGCTTCAAAAAGTCATCGCTGGTGCCACTACATCCGAATGGGTGCTGATAAAAAGCGGCGTACCGCAGGGCTCAGTCTTGGGTCCTGTCCTCTTCCTCATCTATATAAATGACTGTCCTGCAGACCTTGAATGCGATGGCATCATGTTTGCGGATGATATAAAGATCTGGGAAACAATCAGCTGCGTTGAAGATGCGCAAAAGCTACAGGTAGATGTTAATAAGCTGACTGCGTGGTCCAGCAAGTGGCTTCTAGCGTTTAACGTATCCACGTGTGTAGTCTTGCGACTAGAATCTGGACGGAGGCGCTTCCTAAAACATCAGTACACCATAAATGGGGTTCCACTAAATGAAGTGGACACGCACAAAGACCTAGGTGTCTGGACATGCTCAAACTTGCTGCCCTCTCAGCACTGCAAAAGAGTCGTCCAAAAGGCAACCAGCATCATGCACTGGATTAGGCGTGCCTTCAAAATCTTTCCTCCAGAACTCTTCTTACAGATATTCGGCGCATTCGTCAGATCGCACTTGGAATACGGAATACCATCATGGATGCCCTGGATGAAGAAAGACAGTGATGCCATAGAGCAGGTGCAACGACGGGCCAAAAAACTGGTGGACGGTCTCAGGACTCTGTCATACCCAGAAAGACTGATCCAGATAAATTTGTTCCCCCTATCCTATAGAAGAATGAGGTGTGACCTGTTATGGACATTCCGCATTATCCACGGGCATGAATGTTCGTTCAAAACTGATGACTTCTTTGAATTCACGTCGACGAGTCAGCTGCGCGGTCACCCTTACAAAGTCAAGCGGGAGCGTACACGCCTAGACAATCGGAAGTTTTCCTTCAGCCAGCGTGTGAAATAGTGACATCTGATACGATCGCTGTATTCAAAAGGCAGCTGGATCGTTTGATATTTGATAAACGACGACTTTCACAACAGGACTATCTGCGGCCAGCCATAAATTTCATTTCTTGATTTCATCCCTACCTAACACATCCCTGACTCTTAATGAGATGCCCCCTCTTAAAGTATGCAAATGACAGCACTTTATGCTGATTGTATATAACTGCACTTAAAATTTCATGTATACACTGAGAAGACCGCCTGCCGCACCCTTTGCAGTCCCGCCTGTTAAAGTTTTCCGTGAACAAATATGTTACTGACAAAGTTTTAGTAACATGTATATTTAACATCTATATTTTATGTACCGTTTTCAATAGGGTCATCAAGGGCATTGCCTATTACCCTAAAATACAATAAAATACAAAGACAAATAATTCCTTTGTACAGGCCCGATGATGAATAAACGAGAGCATACGTTTGCCGAACTCGACTTTTTAAAAAAAAACATGCAAAGATAACATTCATCGCAAGTGCTGCAGGACGTCTGTCCCAACCCAGTAATCAACGAGGTCTTGCCGCATGAACACTGCTGACATTCGTGCAGACAGTGGATGGTCGAGTAACTGAGCTTGTCCATGATCCGCCAGTCCCCTCTCTTGTCTCCGTTGAAGTCAAATAACTTTTCTAATGTTAAAGATTTTAGTGCGCACGTATTCCCGAACTGCGTCACCTAGGATGCCGAGGTCAGTCGTCAGCACGTGGCAACCAGTAATAATAGGGAATTTGACCTAAATGCTGTCCAACCCCTTCCCCTATTAAGACCACCGCCTTTTGCCTTGGACAATTCGATCGTCGTTGGCGACGATGTCCACCGCGCGCTCCACATCAAGGTGAGGGTAGGCAGGGTGACTTGCGTGTGATTCGGGTTATAGTGAATGTAGACTTGCAAAGCATATGCAGCACCCTCCCCTCCCCCACCTGGACTCGGTGTCAAGACAAAGCCAGGAAGACCGGAGACGCGGAGGACGCAGGTGGATGGCACGGTCGAGGCTGCACCTAGGCGCTCCACTCCACATCCCACTCTTCTACAGTGCGTAACCGATTTCATGAAATGTTGGCCGAAATTCTGAAATTTGTTTTCGATTAGGAAGGGCTACTTAGGTGGCAGTGCAAAATTGATTAGCTTGCGGCGGCATAATCCTATAGCATTTCCTCATGCGGAAAGAATGCACCTTGTAGACTGAAATCGCTAAAAGCCGATGCAATGGTAGATCAGGCTCAAAATTATCCGGGAACTGGAAAACGTTTTGAAAACTTGAATATACACCTTCATCGGGTATAAAAAATGAAGACAGGTTGATTTTCTACCAAACGAGTGTAAGAAGACATATGTTTGTGTACGTTTTCTATAAAATATTCTTGAATTTGTAAAACCATCGGAAATCAATATGAAAAATGCATGCTACATAAGTAGTCATTTTTTGCTGATCGCAGTTTCTGCAGAAGGTCAAAGAGGAGTACATCCAAACGCCGACATTCTGCTGAGTCCGAAATGCTATAGGAGTATGCTGCACGCTAATCAGTATTAAAACCCCACCTAAGTAATCCTTCCTAATCGAAAACACATTTCAGAATGTCGGCCAACATTTTATGAGATCGGTCACGCACTGTACAACATACCTTGGACCAGAATTTTGACCAACAACAAAAAGAGCTGGCGCGGCAAAAGTCGCACCTTGGCTGGGGTCTCTCGGAGTGGTAGTGTCATAAAGGACACATCAGGAAGAAACCATTGCAGCCTGACACTCAGACCACCAGCCGATCACTCCACGCAAACACGCATTACTGGGCCGCCTGCAAGGTCCATGCTACACCGTAAGTTGGCAACCTTCCAAGCCAAGGCTTTTGGCTCACCCTGCTAGTTTCAGATGCGTTAGGTTATTTATAGTGAGGAAAATGCGCTGAGTCGTCGACCTCACTCTTCCTTCCCATTCCAATGCCCCAGTCACGATCCTAGCCGGTCAGCAGACTGGGGCAGGGAATGGGTGCGGTGGCTGACGTTGTCTAGTAACCATGTCTGCGCGCGCAACATACACGGCCTGCTCAACCTCCCCCCCCCCCCCAAACACAAGCACCAGGATTTGGCACAACGGGGGTTGAGTGGCGTACATCACACATGCGTGAGAGTATCGTAGGTCACGCAAGGAAGGATCCGCTTTAGCCTGGTTCTCAGTCCACCCGTCTGCCACAAACGCGCACTCAAATAGACTGACTGCATGGACTGAGTTGGGATGTCAGTCGGTAGCCTTTCAATCCACAGTGCTAAACGCGCCGTGATAGCCTCTGACTCGAATCACACATGTAGCAAAAAGGCTGCATTGAAAGGTAGCCGAGAAGTACACTTCCAACTTGCGTGGGAAGTCGCAATTGGATGCTTGTGGTAGGTGATTATGTTGTGTGGTGCAGGTGTGGGAAGATGTGATGGTGTGGTTTAGCGGCAGTTGAATGCGCCTATGGCTTAATAGGCCCATGCGGTGTGTGAATGTGCGGGTGCAGTGAGGGTAACTGAGGCGGATGCGGTGAGTGTATATGGGTGCTTCAGGCACTCGTTCGCCATTCTCTGTGCGATAAATTCGCAAGTGACCGACCAGGTCGACGTGTGAGGTGATTGTATGGGGACAAAGAGGGCGGTAAAAGCCGATTGTAGAACGGCATTACCCACAAAGACAGGGGAGGCGGAAATGGCCATTTCAGGCTTATTAGCCGTCTCCAGCCAGTCATACCCAACGCAGTCATACCCATCACCCGAGGGTGGTAGTTGGGCTCGAGAGAGAGCCCATAAGGTACAACGGAACGAGTGAGTTCCGTAAGAACGATCGGTGAGCGCCTCCTCTAACATTTTATATTCCTGATCGAAAGCGACAGGGCAACGGCTCGTGGCTCAGTGGTTAGAGGCGTGGACTTCTAACTAACAGAGGTTCATGTGTTCCACTTTTCCGGAGAGCGCATTCTATTTTTAAATTATATCCACTTGGAGTGCATACAAACTGATCTATATATATATATATATATATATATATATTTATATTGTGTTCCACACTTCGGGCTTGGGTATGGCTGGCTGACGACGGCTAATAAGCCAGAAATGGCCATTCCAGGCTCCCTTGTCTTTGTCGGTAATATCATTCTGCCTATATATTGATCGATATGCGTAAAGATTCCAGGTCCAGACATTGTATCGCGTTCATCATCTCCCGAAGAAGACGAAGAAGAAGAGAGGGCGAATTCATGGACCACATTGTATTCGAACTGACGTTTCGGAAACTTCCTCGTTTCCATCATCAGAGCAGCTTAGTTTTTGCACTTGCCGATCTTGAGTTGTTCAGTCTTGCCGCTTGCCTCATATTATAGCCGTGCTGGACGCACGGACTTTGACCTGCCTGTTTGCCGCTGACTGTCTTAGACCTCCCCGGGGCTGACCGCTGACAGGCCTGCGTGGCCTTTGTTCACTTTGGGGTCGGCGAAATTGTGGTCAAATCAACGTGCTGCTTGGCCTCTCCCACGTCAGCCGCTGGACTGATCGGTCGTTGCTGTTCAGGTGAGCAGCATTCAGCTTCGCGGGCACGTCGGTGAGGCAGTGTTCGGCTTTGGACACGTGACGTCTAGCCCCCAATTCCGCTCTTTTCCGTGAGCGTTGACTCTCGGTCCCGCGTGCTCGCCTGCCTTACTGGTCCTGTACGGACTGATCCGAGCCTTGTACGCAGCGTCTGGTAGGCGGGGTGTAGATCTATAGCTCGGTTGAGTGTACCAGCCGAGGACCAACTTTCGAGCACCAGTCTGGCCATCTTCTCATTTGCTCGAACAATTGGCCTCGCTTTCTCAAAGGCAAAACCGTAGTTCAGCTCTCGTATGTGACCATAGACCGAAGACAGCTTGTCCTTGCGGTTTGTTGCAAGTTGATGTGCGTGCAATCGTGTACCGAGGCGTTAGCCTGTTTCACCAACATACCTCGTATTGCAATTTAGGCATGGTATGCTGTAGACCACATCTGACCGTTCTGTTGTTGAAAGCGGGTCTTTGGGCTTCATGATTTGCTGTCCGATGGTGCATTCTGGTTTATGAGCCACGCCAATCCTAAAAGGTTTCAGGATTCTCGCCGTCGTCTCTGATACGTTCTTCACATATATTATTGAGAGTCAGAACTTGGGCTTTTCTCCTCTCGACCGTTCAAAATGAGGCTTTTTGATGCAATTGCGTATATTGGACTTTGGGTGGCCGCTGGCTTTAAAAAGGGCCTGCAAGTAATTCCCCTCCCCCTTCTTCCCACTGTCGTCGGTACAGTGTGTTCGAACGCGTTGAAAGAGAGCTCTGACACAACTGCGTTTATCACTAACAGGAGCGTTGCTTCAGAAGTATGGGATACGCCTAGTATTTGTTTCCTTAAGGTAAACCGTTGTTCTTATCGTCCCGTCTGCGATTGCATAACTTATACGTCCTGGAAGGACAATTGATTGTTGACTTCCTCTTTCACAGTAAACTGAATGTCTGGAGAGATTGCATTTTACAATGCCTTGAAAGCCTTTACCTCGCAACGCTTGAGTAAAAGGACGTTTCTTCGACGTATCTGGCCTAGAACTTTGGGGGGTAAGAGCTGAGGACCAGCTGCTCGAGCCTTGTCAAAGCAGCTTCGGCAATTAGTCTAGACGGAGGCGAGCCCATCGTTGACTCCAACTTTTGCTCGTAGAGTTGGCCGTTGAATGTGAAGAATGTCTTAAGACGCAGTTTTAGGAGTTCGATGGTGTGTGCTCGTTTGAGCTGTTGGTCGGTCTCATCATACTTTTCCCGGGGAAAACCGTCAATTGTGTCGATAGCCAGCGCGGGTGGGATGGAGATGAACAAAGAGATCACGTCAAAATACGCCATCACCACATCTGCCTCCACATCGAGATGTTTGATGCGCGTCAAGAACTTTTCAGCCTTTTCAGTCTTTTAGTAAATTTGGAAGCTCTTAGCTTCCGGCCATCTCCAATCTACACACTAAGCTCCTATCTGTCCCGCCGATTTCAGACAGTTATGGTCGTTAATAGCTACTCGAGACCTCACTGGATCACGAGTGGCATATTTCAAGGTACGTTTCTGGATCCGCTACTCTTCCTTATGTACATCAATTATATGTAGGCTGAACTCGGAAATTCGCAAACTACTCTTTATGCCGATGACCTCAAGTGTGTTTATTCATATTCTAAGGACATTGCAAACGATTTTGTTGAATAATTAATGCCGATTTACTACGCTTAAGCAGATGGGTTTCAACATGACAGATGGAATTTTCCTCATCAAAGTGTAGTTTCATGTCTTTTCTTCCTAAAAAACTTCCTATTGCCATAATTTGTCCGAATAACCCACTCTCAGATTGCCTCGGCATAAAGGACCTTGGTTTAAGTTATACGAATAAACTTGCAGATAGGATCTCTGCCAAAGACGCGCATATATGTGAATTTATATCGCATAATTTATTCCTTCCGGAAATGAAGCTAAGAATTTATAAAATGTTTGTTCTTCCAGTCCTCGAATACTGCTGTCCTTTCCTTGGTTTAATGAATGTCTGTGAGCGCTATAAGTTCGAAAATGTTCAGAGGGTTCTCAAGTTACATCCGGTATTTCTTATACTCGAAGATGTCAGCTGACGAACAATAAGTTTTTGTGGGTAAGAAGACTAGAAGCTGGCCTTTGCTTCCTTTTTCGCATCAACTCTAGCTCCAATCTTCCGCTCATGGACACTCTCACTCCGAGAGATCGGTCTGATGCCACACGCAGGTCCTCAATGGTGATTCCGCCGCCTCTTTGCACTACATTTAAGCACTCCCTCTTCTTTGCTTCCAAATATGCTTTCCTTTGGAATAATCTTCAGCCAGAAATAAGGTCATCGACTAAGTTACTTGTATTCAAGTCGAAATTACGCAAACATCATCCACCCGTACGCATAAAGACACTGTTAGCGGTCTCATTCCATAACACTCATGTTCTTTGCTTTGAGAAGGGTCCTACTGGGATTTATTGGCAGATCAATTGGTAACCATCAATTATATCATTACGCACCCTTGTTTTAAATTGGTTTCTAAATCCACTGTCATCGCTCCTCCGCCATAGCGACGGTTTTCGCGGTTCTCGATGTCATCTCCCGCATTTTGACCTCATGCGGTCTGTCGACGCTCACGACGCAACCCTCAGTAGTCGCCGTCTACTAGTAGTTTGGACGTACCTCCCTTCCCAGCTCCTCGGTTGGGCTGGATGCATACTGTGGCCGATCGCGTCTGGGTTCCTCTCTACTGGCCTCTTTGACGCGAATAGTCTCATCCGGCGTATTAATCCGGCCGTGACGATGTCAGTTCTGAATCCCGTATACAATACCGCGTGCAGGCTAGTCCTGTCCAACCCGCATACGTACCCCTCAAGGCTGACATTTATTTCTGCCCTGACGATGTTCGATTATAATCGGCTATATACCACCACATACAGGCCAGTCGTGCCCGCATTTTCTGTTATTTTTTATCGAGGGGTTTTTTCTGCTGTAAAATTAATCCAATCATTTTTAAATTTTTCAGTGGAGTTTCTTCACACCTCGCTAGTAGTTTTTCTCAACGGACTACTAATTCAAAAACTATGAATTGCATTTTTTACAGATCCTACCTACCTCGTCTACAATTCGCACGCCATTTTTTTACTTGCTTTGATGGACCCCAACGGGTCTTGAATAAAAATAATCATTATTATCGCGTCGTTACCATCAAGAGTTTGATTGGGTGGACTGTTACGGTGAGGAAATTCAAATTAGTTGCGCCACTCATCCTTAGTTTAGGCCACATTGCCTCACAGTCACGGGTCAAATTTGCTAGATATTTCGTGTGAGTTTTCCGGTCCTTTGTCCGCTTTCGAGTCTGCTGCTGATTGATCAAACCGGACGTTAATGTGTTGGCAGTTATTTTCCCTGTTCGGTGTGGCAGATAGGAACGTTCTTTTCCTAAAACCTGAATTTTCATTATGATCAATGTTAGTGGTTGTGTCTATAGGAATGAGCTCCTAACATTTACGATTTCTCCCTTCAATAATGTATTGTATCTTTATAGGAGTTTGGCCTTGAGTTCCCTTCATCTATTCCGCTCGGGGTGTGAGAAGTTCCACAGAAAAAATCGTCGGGTGGGCATCTCGGAGTGCTTATCTCCTGTTCAGCAGCAGTGGAGCTTGCTCCTCATTTCCGTAAATAATTTTAAATTGTTTGTAATGGCTCGACTCGCCCTTCAAATCCTTAATTTTTCCTATTCCCCTGTCATTTACATTAACAAGGTCATAAGAAGTAGATTCTGTGGCGCTATTAAAATTATTGAATAGTGCCTGCGATAGCATTCCATAAGATCACATATATTATGGGACATATGTTCGATCGTTTTGACTATTTATTCAGGGAAGTCTAGTAGTATATTTGCTTATAAATCTATTGTTTGGTCTGTTATCGTCTGCGAACATATTCATCTTCAGCATATTCTGGTCATATGAGACCCTAAATAAGAATTCAAGACTAATATGGGGTCTGATTATCCAAAAGACTAAAATATCTGAAAAGTTTTTGACGCGCATCAAACATCTCGAAGTGGAGGCAGATGCGGTAATGGCGTCTTTTGACGTGATCTCATTGTTCATCGCCATCCCACCCGCGCTGGCTATCGACAAAATTGACGGTTTTCCCAGAAAAATTATGATGAGACCGACCAACTGCTGAAACGAGCACACACCATCGAACTCCTAAAACTGCGTCTTAAGACCTTCTTCACATTCAACGGCCACGTCTATGAGCAAAAGTTGCGGACACCGATGGGCTCGCCTCCGTCTAGACTAATTGCCGAAGCTGTTTTGCCAAGGCTCGAGCAGCTGGTCCTCAGCTCGTACCCCCCGAAGTTCTAGGCCAGATATGTCGACGAAACGTCCTTGTACTCAAGAGTTGCGAGGTAAAGGCTTTCAAGGCATTGTAAAATGCAATCTTTCCCCGACATTCAGTTTACTGTGGAGGGGGAAGTCAACAATCAGTTGTCCTTCCAGGACGTACAAGTTACGATATCGCAGACGGGACGATAAGAACAACGGTTTACCGTAAGGAAACAAGTACTAGGCGCAATCTTCCACTTCTGAAGCGACCGTCTTGTTGGTCATAAAGGCAGTTGTGTCAGAACTCTCTTTCAACGCGTTCAAACACACTGTACCGACGACAGTGGGAAGAAGGGGGAGGAGAATTACTTGCAGGCCATTTTTAAAGCCAGCGGCCAACCACAGTCTATTATACGCAATTGCATCAAAAAGCCTCATTTTGAACGGTCGAGAGGAGAAAAGCCCAAGTTCTGACTCTCAATAATATATGTGAAGAACGTATCAGAGACGACGGCGAGAATCCTGAAACCTTTTAGGATTGGCGTGGCTCATAAACCAGAATGCACCATCAGACAGCAAATCATGAAGCCCAAAGACCCGCTTTCAACAACAGAACGGTCAGATGTGGTCTACAGCATACCATGCTTGAATTGCAGTGCGAGGTATTTTGGTGAAACGGGCAAATGCCTCGGTACACGATTGCACGAACACCAACTTGCAACAAACCACAAGGACAAGCTGTCTTTGGTCTATGCTCACATACGAGAGCTGAACCACGGTTTTGCCTTTGAGAAAGCAAGGCTAATTTTTCGAGCCAATGAGAATATGTGCGGATCGTATCCCAAAAGCTAATCCTCGGCTGGTACACTCAACCGAGTATAGATCTACACCCCGCCTAACAGGCGCTGCGTACAAGGCAGTCCTGAAAGGATCAGTAAGGCAGGCGACACTTCCAGGAATCTGTTCCACACCCGAGAAAGAGGCTGACAACAAGCTCTCGTTTCTTGATATCCTCGTATCGAGAAAGTCCGTCGGGACATTCCACACTTAGGTTTACCGCAAGGTAACCTAGGCGGAAATCCTTTTACATTACGATAGCAATAACCCAATCTCTCACAAAAGAAGCGCCGGGAACAGAATCATTAACCGAACAAGAACTTACTGTTCTGACTACGAAACCTATCAAACAGAACTAAATATTTTTTTCAATCTGTTTTGCCGGAATGGACATCCTAGATATTTTTTGCACCGATGCATGAAACGACAGGAGTTAAAAGAAAAGGACAAGGAAGTAGATTGTTCCGATCAGCCGCCCAAACTGAAAAAACTGTCGAACACTTCCGCACATTAAGAATATATCCGAACTAGTTGAAAGACATCTGAAGGAGCACCAACTACGTGAGGCGCACAAGCCGACAACTAGAATTCGAAACCAGCTTATGCACCCTAAGGATAGGGGTGGCTATTTATACAAGAAGGAAGTAGTCTTTTTGATACCATGCAACACCTCTAATGCGGTTCACTGCGGTCAACCTGCAAAATCGGCCTCTGCACGAGTACACGAAAATCAGGTGGTCGTAAATAGGCGAGACCGCTTGTCCCAAGCTGCCATGCATACGCTGGAAACTGGACATAAATGCGCTTGGGACAGCACTAGCATCGTAGGTGTCTGCTCCTATAGGAATTGTCGTGAACGTTTAGAGGCCATCCATTCTGATAACTCATGCATCAACCGACACGTAGAATTGGATGCGGTGTACAGCAGCCTCAAAAAGAAGTGGAAAAGGCATTGGCCAATCAGGACATTATGCCAGCAGAAGTGACAGGGCAAAATCGATTTTAGGCACGTTCAAATGTTAACTATTTTGCACACCTACTTCACGGTTGAAGGTGACTTGGGTAAGCAAGGTCAAAAATTTACAAATAGTCTTGTTTGTCTTTCCCGAAGAACTTATTTCTTTCAAATATGCATATATATGCAGATATATAACTTTTGTTTGTAGTTATCTGGACCACCTAATTGGACTTAGCTCGAAAATATGTATTGACATTCTTATTTTAAATGCCCATATATGAATGAACCCGACATGTATGACTGCGAGATCGCAGAAATATCGTTGCAGAGGACGTGCAGTTGTGGGCTGTAGAATGTCGGAATTTTAGTTAACTAGAATGTCTCTGTCGTCGCAATTTAGGAATATTGTGGAGAATGTGCCACTGGTACCTAGGACAGTGTTGAGGACGCGGACACAAATTGTTAGGTTACGAAGTCGCTGGGTAACTAGGGCTTCGTGGTAGTTCATGCAAGCAGAGACGACTTGTTGATAGTGAAGCATTCACTAGACAGAACGACGCATTCCCTTAAATGCGACATGTTATGTAGGACCGAGGATCACCGATGTGTAGTCTTTCCGTGGGAATTACAGAGAGAGCTGAACCAGCATAATTAGAACTAATCATAAAGACAGAAGTCCAGGACGCTATCGTCCGGCTATCTTTCAGGTTAAACCTGACTTTTTCCTGATTGTATTGTTGCAACAGTTATTTTCCCTGTTGATCGACGGGAAGTGTAGGTAAGCCGTAAGGAACAAAAGTCTCAGACGATCACGAAAGAAAATAAAATTTTCGAAAGTCATGTTGGAAATCAGGAATTTATTTGAACTAGCTTAATGGTGGATTTTTATATAAGAAATAAAACAACGAGCAAATTACACGCTAATAGATTCGAGAAGCAGACGAATGAGGTTGCGTGCGCGCCAGAATTCCAAGTCACTGAAATGAGAAGAATTCGGATGCGTAGCATAAGGAATGCTGTAGAAGACGAGGTAGCAAAAGCGCAAATTAAAGGAAAAATATGAAACGATGTAGATTACCACTCTTTTAAGGAGAAAATCCTTGCGCCTCCAAGCGTTCAATTATCTAAAAGTTGACAGGAAGAAAATCAGGATATTTGACTCTGCGTGTAAATAGCCCTTTCAGAAAAATTTTCGTAGGTCTGCGTGTGATTTACTGGGCAGTCCAATTGCATCTAACTGTGGACTTTGCAAAGTGGGAAAATGAAATCTATGGCAATACATCATAAGAAGAAGAATAAGTGCTACGAATCAAACTCCCCCCCCTATATACTTTCGTCCTAGGTTACGCAGAGTGCCCCGTCGGTTTCATCTGACACGAAGTTTCAGTTCTGCCTTTGATACGTTGCATTTACGAGCGGGCTAAGAGGCTATCAGAAGCAAATAACTAGCCGGAATGGTGAACTTCGCCGAAAAATGCTCGTCAAACGTCGTAAAATGTTTTCTCACAAATGAGTAGTTGTATGGAACCACAACATCCCATTCTTTGAGAAGCACTCTAAAAACCTATCGCATACGCCAAACTGATCGCTGGCAGTTCCAATGCCTTCTTGTCCAAAAAGCATAATGACAATTCGACCGCTTCACTTCCTAACCTGCAAATATATCCCGTCGACGGTCGAAGACGCCGCTTCAGTCACCGGACGATTACTTAAAGCTCGTAGTCCTGGACCAAATAGTGTTGCAAACAGCAATTTAAATGCGGGCGTAGGTGAGGTGATTTCGTCCCACATGTGCGAGATATCTAATCTCGCTCTCGAAAGTGAGACCTATTCCAGTTTGTACAAGGACTCATGCCTTCTACATATTCCCAAGCACGGCCAGTCTACGTCAGCTGACGACTTTCGGCCAGAAAACATCCCCCGCGCTACAGCAATTTCGAAAATCGTAGAGGCCTTAATCTAAAATGAGGTAACGTCTCACTCAACATGAGATCCGCAAAGCTCGGTCTTGTGACGCCTGCCAGCCTCCCTTTTAGTAGTCATGTTGCACAATCTGCAAACAATGGTTTCGCCGCCTGAACAGTCATCATCAGCCCCAAGTGTGCACTGATGGAGACGACATTAATGTGAACGGAACTGTTGAGGATCTACGTATGCATAACTCCAGGAGTCCCAGTCTTTCAGTTTTCCTGCCTGACTGGCCTCAAGGCGGACAAAACGACTGGATTTCCTCCATGGAAATTTGAAACTGGCTATCTTTGCACCCGCCTGGTCTAGAATGCTATACGTTTTTATTTAGCCTTCTGCGCACTGGTGAGCGAAAGAAAGTGGAACTTGTCCAGCCTTCTGTTACCAGAAGTACTTTGATCGCGGAACGCCCAATTGCGACACATCGAGAACGTTGTGGACTCCCAGATCTAGGTGCTTTGTGGCTTCGCCGATTACAAAAGAACTCCAGGTTGTCATTCAAGTTTCTAAACTGTCACACGTTCAATGTCCCCACTACTTTGCAACATTTTGACCGCTGTGGGCACAACACTTCACTTGGCGTCATTTTATCTCTTCCTGAAGTACTTACAGTTAAATATAGTAATTCCATTTCTGCCAACCGAAATGCAATCTAGAGTAATTTCCGCAGGCCTATGGCTATTTCGCAAAATAGCCCTTAGTAACATGAACTTTTACTCGCTTTCATCGGTCAGAACAACCTCCACAAGTTCTGCGAACAGTATTCACCGAAATCATTTCCCGTAGTGATGGCATTCCCTGTCTGGTGTCATTTCGAGTTGCTGACTCTGCAATCCGCCTTGTAGCGAGTAAATTCTTCATCTGGCGGTGAGCATCTGTTTATCTATGCGGCCTTGTCTAATACTGTGTCCAGATTCCAAGAAACGAAGTCAAGACTAGAACGTCGCACAAATGCCTTCAAGCCAAAAACGTTTTTGATCTGGACCGCCGTAATTTCTGGGACCGTAGATTATTCTCCCATTACCCAATAAACCTGTTAGCAATACAGTAGATGCACTTAATCATGAAATATTAACCAAAATTCCTAAATGCGTTTTCGTTGTTAAACCGATCATTGTGCAGCATAATTCTATAGTACTTTAGTTAACTCAGGACGTTGGCTTTCGAAGTCGGCTACCAGGATGGTCGCTTAAGTAAGCGCTGATGAGGAAAAGAATATCGTAAAGGAAGCGCAGTAACATACCGAGGAGATCCTCTTGAGGTAATACCACACTTCCTCCAACTAAAACATGATAGTCAGAATAAAATTCGGGGAAAAACAACAAAAGGCAAGAATTAAGTAAGGTCAACAAGGATACGTACCCAATAAGCACGCTCGTCTGAAAAATAGGAAAGGAGGAGAAAAGGCATGAAAAACACGACAAAAAAGCCGAAAAACTACAAAGAAAAAAGCAAAACACGGGGAAGGTAAAAAACAGCAGGGCCACCAAGAACCGCAGAAGAAGGCGGGCTGACAGGGCAAATGCCGTCCTCTTCGCAATTAAAATGACTTTAATGCTCAAAGAGCTATTTGGAAAAGTGTATGGAGCATTTGTTCATTCAAAAATTGGAATATGGAATCCAAGCATGGCGACTCTGGCTGAAAATGACTATTAGTTGCCGGAACGAGTTCATAGGAGGGCGACCAAAATTGTGAAAGGCCTCAGGACTTTATCTTCCCGCTGTAGACTTGATGAGCATAAGCTATTTTCTCTTGAGTACAGGCAGATCCGAGGAGATCTCAAGCAGACCTAACGGATCGTAAGGAAACGAGACTGTGCCATTCGCTACATTGATTTCTCCACCTTGACTACAAAAGCAAACCTGAGCTGAAACTTTCTAAAACATCAGAGAACCAGATCCCACATGGATGTTCGCATTTTCACAGCGAGTCGCCAGTGCCCGAAACGAGCTTCCAGAGGAAGTGATAATGGCGGACGTCGCAGGGGTATTAAGACAAAGACTTCGTGTATATTTGCTTGAAGAATACCGCTTAAATCGACAGAATAGTACTGTTATACCAAACCAAATATTTGCACATATCACCCGCTAATGGGATGATTGATGATTCGCTGTATCGTTGTCCTCTAGGACTGGGCGTTATCAGGCTACAGTTACAAAATTCCAAGACGCATATTCGCTGTATTCAGCAGCAGGTTGTAATGACGGGTAAATTTGTATGTAGAGGGTGAAAGAGGATAATTAGAGTACTGAAATAGCGAGAATATAGAATCAAATACATGGTGAAATAGACCAAAAAGTAGTAAAAATAAAGAAAAAAGGAAAGGGTAATGCTAAAAGAAGTAACTGAAAAAAATAAGCAGAAGGAAATAATGAATTGCACACGAAAAATGCAATCACAGGACACAAACTGATTGATAGAAACGTTTACATATAGAGCAAAAAATAAATATATCCACACGCGTGCGTGTCACTCTATATAAAAACGACGCCTAAGGAAAGGCAAAATACCCGGGGCATTCTTCCAGCTGAAAAAGTAGAAAGCTAACATTCCGTACTCCGGCAAGTATATTAACTGCCTGCTTCATGTTCTCTGCGCTACGTTTGGCGCATCTGCATACTTAGCGATGCCGCCGTAATGACAGGGCAGTTGCTTACATGATTCAAGTGTTTCCGGCATCTCGGAGAACTGGCCTTGAAATAATCATTATGCAGCATAATTCAATAATTGTCCAAGTACCGCAGGATGCGGCTTTCTAACGAACTCCTTCCGGGATGCATACAAAAAGTATACGCAGTAGAAAATGACTTCTTGTTTAGCATGCATTTTCTCATCGATTTTCGATGCCCTTAAAAATTCAATTGTAAGTCTTGGAAGACATACATAAAACGTATTCATTACTTTGCTCATTCGGTAGAAATCACGTCTTCTTCCAGTGGTATACTCGAAGGGCGGGCCCAATTCGGCCGTGATATGCCTTTTCATAAAACTTCATGCCTTTGCATTTACCAGTGTGGCTTGTACAGTTAACAATTTGGCTCAAATCTACTGCTAAATTATATGAACTCCATATAGTCTCCTCTTAATACCGTAGAGACATGCATGGTTTTCCGCACAAGGAAGATATACGGCTTGTAGTTTGGAAATTCTGGATGCAAATATAACTGCAGATCGGGTTTAAAATTATCCGCGAATGGGAAACGTTTTGAAAACCGGATTATAGCTATTCTCCAAAAATGAGATTGGAAGAAGACGTAATATTTAACTGAATGAGCAAAAGTATGAATATTTTTATGCATGTGTTCTATGAAATATAATAGAATGTTTAAGGGCTTCTAAAATCGATGAGAAAATGCATGCTACTCAAGCCGTCCTTTCTTACACAGTATAGACGTTTTATGCAACAGAAAAGGAGTTCTTTCGAAAGCAGGCAACCTTAGGTGATTTAATTATCATAGAATTATGTTGCATATTGAGTGGTTTTACAACACTACTTAATTAAACCGCATTCCAGAATTTCAGTTGATATTTCATGAGTTAGCACATCTACTGTAATTTTGCGTGTTCAGATGTTGATTAACGGTTGTTAGGGTGTGGGAACAAGTCAATGATCGTATACGTAATCCCTCGTATTGAGAGTCTAGAAGGACGTGCCGGTTGCTGCTGGTTGTGCCAGAATGTCATGCTTCGAGGAATTCTCGAGCCTAACTGGTGTTACCCATTGCCATCACTTCAGCACCGCTGCAATTGAAACGTTGGTCATACTAAAGGGCGGGAGCAAACACGAGAGACAAGGGGGGGGGAGTCGCGACTGAGGAGGGATAACTTCTGCTCGCTAATGCGAGTAGGCCTGTATGGCCAATATATACGCAAGTGTACTGGGCGCACGGTATGCAGTAGATGGGCTCAGTTATTTCTGATTGGTGGAGTGGATTGAGTATAGTGAGACATGACGCAATGACGAGAATGTGCTCCCCAGGAAATTTTCCTGGAGGTGGAGTTGTCGTGATGGTCGAAAGGATTTCGCCAGAATGGCCTACGGAGAATGCAAAAGACGAGGAGAGGAAGTAAGACAAGTAGTGCAGCAAGTGTGTCAAATGGTAAGGACGCCATCGTAGAGGTCAGCATGAGATAACACAGGAAATAAAATTGCGAAAATCGAATGAATTCATGTAGCGCAATAAATAGCTACGGCCTAGGGTAATAAGAGGCTTAAAAATAGTGCGTTAAAACAAATTCAAAAGGGGCATTTGAAAACAACTACGAAGTCCTGCCTGTTTGCAGATCATAGCGAATAGCGAGAGAGGAATGGCGTAGGAAAATACGCTTACTAGGCGAAGATGGCTTTGGGGTCCACGAAGATTCGCCTTTAACCTCGGTTACGCTTTCTGCAAACAGAATGCAGGGAGACGATCATGGGGATTGCTGTCTGCCTCCCAACGTCCTGTGCTACACACAAATCTCACAGACCCTAATGTCATTGCCGTCCACACCTCCATTCTCATAATAAAAATACAAATGATATATTAATATAATATATATATTATATTGGATGTGACTTATACCGCCAGATCACTAAGCCCATGTGGATGTGTTCTCTCATTTGCTGACTACTCTTAAATATTCTGCAATTTGCATTGCCTCTGCCTTTTGCCCTTTCCTCGGTCTACAGTCTTTAATACTTTTATGTATTTTATCTTATTTTCTCACAGAGATTCAGCAATTTGCATCGTTTCTTCTTCTTGCTCATTTGTCCTCCATCTACTTTCTTCCTTCATTTTTTCCCTAGCCTATGCCATTTTTCCATTCCTTGTTATGTCATGTTTTTGCCGTTGTTTCCTTTTACCTCCTATTTTTAATAATTATCTTCGTTGGCTTTGCTTACTTTTCATTGGTTCTGTTCCTGGTGGAGCTGTTTCAGTATGCGGCGGCAAGGTAGCTGTAACATAGAAATGGACATATTTGTTATATTTCTCTGCTTCCCGGCTTTAATATGCTAACTGCTCGTTAGCTTTGCACTTTTTTTCATATTTTACTGCTTCACATATTGTATTTGTTTTTTATTGCAATGTGTGCATCCATGCGCATTAATCCCTGCAAAATTTTATGCTCATTTACTTTTATTTTTTCTGTTTTCATTCTGTTAGACTCATTCTTCCCCTTTTCTGTTATGCGTTTTTCCGTCTTTGTGGTCTTTAAAAAGTTCATTTCGTAATATTCTGAAGTAAATAGATTTACTGAAGTCGTTTGTGTCAATCCTGGCATTAACTAAAAATATCCGCATGGAACCCATCTTTTCGGCCTGACTAACTTATTTTTGTACTTAATGGACATTTTGTCCATGTGTCCCAGTATGCTCCGATTGGTACTTTTCATTTGCCGTTTGTTCTGCTATTGCAAACCACATTACTCTATTTTTACGTTCCCCTTTCTGAACTTTTTCGATTTTAATCACCAATTGGACCACTATATTTTTCTGCTAAATGCGCTATTGCGTGTCGACTTTCATGCCAACACAATTTGGTTGCGCCATCATTGCTTTGAGGTTTGGAGTTTGCAGGTTGCACAGATGTGGCTTGCTTACTTTGAGCTGTATTTCTCAGTCATCTGTTTATTCAACCATTTTCTACGGCTCCTGATTTTAACATTTGCAATTACAGTGGAGCGATTAAACGGTCGTCTGTGCGTGATAAGATAAACCATTCTGCTTTTATTCATCCAAATTCTGTGAGCGAACACTGCATTTTGAAGGCGTCAGATTACTTTATATACCGGTTAGTGTAGTATCCAGCGTGAAACATTAAAAATGTGCAGACCTGTTTTTTTTTATCGGCACACTTACTTCTGTGTTCTTAATTTAATGACGGGTCTTAATCTTATGACCTCCAGTGAGGTGAGGTTTAATAGAGCACTTACATGTGTGAATTAGTCTTATTCAAGCGAGAGGACTGCCGAAAGGCTGTGTGTTAAGGTCAATTGTCAATTGTTCATACGACAAGCACACTCTGACTGACAATGGATTTCGACTTTTCGTACGAAAATATGTCAAACATGTGTTTAGGTTTGTTCATGAAAAACCAGAGGTAGATGATGAGCAGGTAATTACAGTGGGTGATTATTCGCAACCGGCAGTCAATAGAGCATAATGTAATATTATGAGCCTTAAAAATTGAAGCTTGTTTGCCCACTAATCATCCTATGTAGAACCACTTATTTTAACCGGGAGGTTTGACTTTATTTGACAGTATTACTCATTTACCATAAGACCCGCACTTAGTGAATGCGAGCAGAAACCAACTCGTATCAGCAGTGAGGCATTAAATATTATAGTCACGAACTGGCTGTGATGGAAACAATATTGACGGACTTAAAAACATGCTAGGGGTTAATGTGCTAAAACTTCAAACATGCTTTCTGCACTTGCACTACTTGCTTCGTCAAGAGCCAATGTTATGTCTCAAAAATTAAGGCAAATACACCTGAGATTCCCTGGCGACTTTCTAAATAAAAGTGAATTAAGTAAGTACAATATGGCAAATAAAACCTCCTTAGTCATCTCGATTAGGTGTCAACGTAAACCTGTTGTATGTCTAAATATGTAGTTTTCAGCCTGTCGCGAACATAAATACAGGTCAAGATGTTGTCTTATTTGTCCCGTTGAAAATAACACGGATAAACTTACACCAACGGTGAGTTGATCGCGCTTCAATGAGGTCTAAAAGGAGGAGGAAAAAAAGCGAGTTGTCATTCCTTCAATTTAAACCCAGTTGCGTCAATTTTAAATTTGTCTCTCTGGAAGTTTCATCGACGACAGAATCTGTCTTTACGGACGATCGATTAAAAACACTGTAAAGGATGAAGTATTTAACGATGTACCAAGGCAAAATTGAAATTCGACGTAATCCAGAAAAAAGGAAAATAGGAAGCTTGTTTTACAGAACCGATTGTCTCTTTTTGTATACACCTAAAGATTTGTTTACTATTAAATCTGTCAAACCTACTTTAATCTATTAGTCAGCAACCGACCTGACAATATGTGACCTTATAAAACTCTTATTCCTATGGCGTCCTTGTCGGCGAAATCAAGCAGAGTCCTGTCTGCCTTATTGAGCTGTACCTTAATCAACTAAAAAGCGTGGAAAATACAGCGAATCCGCAGGAGATCGTTTTGGAATTTATACTCCGAATGGAGGCCGTTGGGAAACTGTCGTACCTGATAATACACTAATTCGTAAAGGATATTTTATTGTGAAGTGCACTGAAAGACCATGTTCAAACATTATTCTTTTTGTGCTGCCCGTCTTTTAACAGTTCCTTTCAAAATTAAATTTACTAAGATACAACCATTTATGACATTCTCGGAAGTTTCCGCTTTGCGAAGAAAATTCGTATTACTACACATTGCAGTATTGCCTATAATATTTCAATTGTATTTTCGGTTCTATTAAAAGTGTCCTTTATTACTGTCGACATTGAATCCATGCATTGGTGATGGATACAACTAATTAGCAATCACTCGTAAATTTCGACACCTTTCATCCCTTAGGTGGCATACCGTACCATCTTGGCTTCAAGCAGCTCCTTATTATCAGGACTGCAGTATAGGCCTTAGGATCACTTGTGAGCTTAAAAAATCGTAGAGCTCAAAGTCACCAAGCATGTAAGCGGATTTTAGAGATACTTTCTTGATACCGGACTATGTCTAATCTACAAAACGGCACAGACATATGCCAGCATCTGCCATTCTTACAGGTTTTTGAAGACGCTTTAAATAACTGAAAGCCTTCTGTTTTGCTCAAGTGTCTTGCCCGTATCATAAGTACCCACCCTGTTGTCGCTGTTTCCGGAGGTATGTCTATTTTACAGTAGATGTGCTAACTCATGAAATGTCCGCCAACATTTCGAAATGCGTTCTCGTTTCGAAAAGATAAATTAAGTAGTGTTGTAAAACTAATCCTGATGCAGCATAAATCTATAATGACACAGTTACCGAGAGGGTGTCGCCTTTCGAAAGAACTTATTTTCGGCTGCGTTTAACGTCTATACTTTGCAAAAAATGACTGCTTAAATAGCATGCAATTTTCTCATTGATTTTCGCTGCTCTTAAATTTCATAAAAAACATGCACAAAAATGTTCATTCTTTTACTTATTCGGTAGAAAATCACGTCTTCTTCCAAATCCATACTCAAAAAATAGTATAATTTGGTTTTTAAAAAAGTTTCTAATTGTGAGATTTTTTAATACCGTTAAATGGCCGTTCATGTAACGTCATGCATCTGCATTTACGAATGTAGCTTGTAAAGTTAACAATATCGCTCAAATCCACTGCTGAATTTTATGAACCTCATATGGTCTCCTCTTAAAACCATAGAGCAATGCATGGTTTTCCGTGCACGGAAAATATACAGCTTGTAGTTTTGAACCCCTGAATGCAATGGAAGAAGACGTGATTTTCCACCGAATAAGTAAAACAATGAGTATTTTTATGCATGTTTTCCATGAAATATAATTGTATTTTCAGGGCCATCGAAAATCAATGAGAAAATTGCACACTAATTGAGTAGTCATTTTCGGCAGAGTATAGATCTAGCATACAGCCGAAACTAAGTTCTTTCAAAAGCCGATACCCTGCGGTAACTGGATCATTATAGGCTTATGCTGCATCATGATTAGTTTTACAACACTATTTAAATTATCTTTTCGAAACGAGAACGCATTTCGAAATGTTGGTTGACATTTCATGAGTTAGCACATCTACTCTAGAGACTGTAATCTGCTAAATATTGTAGTTAAGTTGCTTATCCCTTTTGAATTGTGTCGCAGTGTTCTGATGCTGCTGTTTTGCCGCCAAGCACATACAATGGCGAAAACTGAGTAAATAGTACTGCGTTCAAATTTCGTACGATAAACATACTGCCACGAGACATACGCTAAAATTATGAGTAAAAACGGGTTCCCATAACCTGATGTTAGCTGCACTTTTTCAAGTCACGGATGCTACACAAGGATGGGTAAATATCAGCCTCCGAGTCAGCTAAAGCTAAAAACCTTTAATAGTATTAAAATGTGTGGGTCTGTAAAGTTAGAAAGGAATCGGTGATCCTGGTGTGGTAAAATCGCTCGATAGAAAGTGCAACCAGATAAATTATGCCTATTCTTCTAAAAACCTATTAATTACCCCTTGTGTTCTGCGTGAGTATTCTCTTTGGTACAAGCATGGAGCATCGAGCAATTTTGATCAATTCGAAGGACTGACCTACCATCCAATTGTGATCTCACATAAACAAATATAATTATGTTAAGTTAGTTGCCCTTAATCAGAATCTGATTCCCATCTATTAATGACTATTTCCATTGAGGATATTCATAATCCCTCGCCACCGAAGAGATGTAAAAGTACTAGCACGAAGAGAGTCTAACAAACTATACAGAATGCTTGCTGGCTATTTCCGAACATAAGATCACACAGCATCATAATTTTAAGGCAGATAGTAAATACGAAAAATTTGTTTAGAACAGTGTGAGAAGCCGGTTGCAGTCATACGTAGGCGCTTACTATTTAAACCTAAAATAAGACCAACTAACACCGGCGCATATGAACAAATAATCACCAACTTACAGCAAAGCAGAAGAACCAAAATCGCGTGTTTCATTCTGTTGGCTCCGTGAGACCTGAGAGCCAGAATGCTGCGCAGCGATTTATAGATGTAAGTCTTTCAGATTTGAAGGTCATTGCTGTCAGTGGAAATCCATTAAATTAAATTTGATTAATCAGGCGCACACAGGCCCCTGTCTGCAAAACAACAGCTATTGGGTCCATCCAGAAAGAATACGTTACTTGAGAATGGCAGCGTATTCTTGTTGGAATTTGCCGGACCACTCTTTGAAGTTTTACACCAGAAGCCGCATAGAGGAGGCTCGAGGGCCCTCTAAGGAGCGGGGGGGGTGGAAGACCGTCAAACTCGTGGCGTGCGTGTGATTCATCCACTGACGTGCAAAGTATGGAAGGTAGGGGGGTTCTTCATGTGAATTCCTTTCAACCACACCCAATCTAACCGCATGTGCTGCAGTTAATTGCATAATCACCATATTGCAGTTTTTCTATGGAGCTGTCACGTTGAGTTCAGTTGTCAGAAGTGACATTTACTGTTGGACAGGCAAGAAATTCTTAAAGCTCAACTGATGCCTGTGATCTCCTCCTGAATTGTGCTTGGGTACTAGCACATGTCTGCCCGCGGGAACTTTGTGCAACATCCCAGAAGGTCACTTGAAGACCATTTGCTCAAGAATTCAGACTATGGTGTTCAGGAGAGTGATCTAGGCTGAACTGGTCGCGGTCTGAATATGTTAGCGCACTTCCAAGTCTTCAAACATTGGTGTTTCTCTTTTAGACTGAAGAGTACAATGCCCCTCATTACTTGGTAACGAACGTTTTGAAAAAGCAAGATAGCAGACGCAGGTTTCCAGCAATTCATCATCATGCCCATACAGTTAAATATGACTTGATCATATGAGACGTTTACAGGGTTAATAGGTAGAGTAGGTGGGATAAATCACGAAATTTCAACCGAAATTCCGAAGTGCGTTTTCGTCTTGAAAAGATTAACTAGGTAGGCTTGTAAGACCAATCATCATGCAGCGTGATTCGACAACAATTCAGATACCTCAGGATTCTGGCTTTCAAAAGAACTCCTTTCCCGTCTCATGCAAACCCATACTCCGTAAGAAATGACTACTTGCGTAGCACGCATTATTCTCCTTGGCTTACGATTGCCTTAGATATTCATTTATATTTCATAGATAACATGTATAAAATATTCATTCTTTTGCCCATTTGGTAGACAATGAAGTCTTCTTCCTATTTTATATTCGAAGGAAGGGTATAATTTGGCTTTTAAAAAGTTTCCTATTGTAAGATTTTTTAATACAATTAAATACCGTCTATAAATCTTCGTGCTTCTGCATCTACCAATGTGATTTGTAAAGTTAACAATATGGCTTTTATTCACTGCTTACGTTAGTGCTCTCCGCATAGCCTCCTCTTAATACCGTAGAATAATGTATGGATTTCCGTAAGCGAAAAATGTTCGGCTAGTAGATTGGGAATCCTGGATGGAAGCATAACGGCAGTTCGGGGTCAAAATCATTCGGGAAATGGAACAGTATTCGAAAACCGAATTACACCCTTAATTCGGGTACTAACTTGAAAGAAGACGTAATTTTCCACTCAATAAACAAAAAGGGGAGCTTTATGCATGCTTTCCATGAAATACAATTGAATGTTTAGATGGTAGTTGGTAGCCCTCCCGTTACCGAAAAGTCCCAGCTACCTGACATACGGGACCGGTGGTAATAGGGGCTATACGGGTGGGGCAAATGAGATTTCCGTGTGGGTCTATATATACAGTCTTGCAGCGCCTCGTTCTCGGGGCGGTTAAAGTAAAGAAGAAAGTCATCCTGACAGGGCCTCTGTGCGTGCATCCGCCAGACATAATGAAAACGTTATCACAGATACCGAACTCGAGCCAGAAGGTACAATTGTAAAATAAGTGGGCAGGACTACCAACTACCATTCTGCCCAATTGAATTTCCAACCGCATCGAAAATCAATAAGAAAAATATCTACTATTAAATAAATCATTTTATCACAGTAGATTTTTTGCATGCAGCCGGCAAAAACTTCCTTTGACAGCCAGCATCCTGAGGTCAGTAACTAATTGTAGAATTCTTCTACGTGGTGATTAGTTTTGCAGAGCTACTTATTTAGTCTTTTCAAAACTAAAACGAGTTTCGGAATTTTGGCTGGCATTTCATGAGTTGTCCGACCTACTGTATCTCAGGTAGGTTATTAACACCAATCGTTTCCACGTCATTCGCATGACGACGACATTGAGACAAGTGGGTAAGTGAGGGAGGGCAGACATAAAACGCCTTTTTCACGTCACTGCAAGAGCATGTAGGGCCCATATGCAGGCAAAACGACCTGCTCTTATGATAAACAGCATGCGCATCTAGATCACCAGCAGACTAAGTTAGACAATAGTCCGACTATCGAAATGTTACATGAGAGTTGATAAGAAGCATGTGATCAGCCATCTCGGCAGAAACCGACCAACCTCCCAAAAACACTTTCGTTTCTATTCAATTTCTGTACGCTAAACGCTCTGATGACCAAACCCTGAGATGTGCACACAAAATGAAAAGGGCCTCCGGTTAGATTCCATTTGGTAGCCAGGAATGGGGAGGCAGACTGCGGGGTCCCTGTCTTACCGGAATGGTGGGAAAGGGGATTATATGGGTGGAGGAGGGAGAGAGGAATACTTTATTTTGAAAATAACTTTCAGCAAAAACGGTTCTCCTGTACACAGTGATTACCATAGAGATTAACAGGTATTGGACAGGTGGACATAATTATATATGAAGAAAAAAGGACTTTAAAGTGCAAGATCGAGTTTTAGTTTTTGTTTTTCAACATCTTTGCAGGTGAGGTACCGGGCTAGAAATGGCAGTATGGAATTCCGATAGACCGAAGTGCGGTAAGGGATGTGGCGGAAGCATCGACGCATGGGGCGTAAGGATTTCGCAGCCATTAACTCATTATGAAGGGGATGGACTATGTCATTCAGAATTCGGTCAGCGAATTGCTCCACCGAGTTGAAGTGTCGCTGCACGATGATATCAACTAAAAGATGATCGGAAACACCAGCAGCAGAGGCGAGCTTTCGAATGACACGTTTAAAAATAATTAGATCTTTTTTAAGTAAAGCTGGAAAAATAACTGAAGATTAATAAAAAATGAGTGGAAGAATACAGCCATCTATGAATTGCCAGATTAAGGACTGGGGTGTGTGATATGAACGTAGACGACGAATGTAGTAAATAAGTATTTGAATTTTTGTTAAAAGGGTTTCCATATGAAGAGAGAAAGAGAGATTTGAGGATAAAGTAACACCTAGGTACCGGAAAGAAGAAACCTCATTGGGAAGAATATCCAAAGGTTCAGGAATGGGGGAGGGTCGCAATCAAAACACACACAGTACTGATTTCTGATTGTTGAGTAGCAGTCCATTATTCGAAGACCATGCGGAGACGTGATCTAAGCCATCCTTTAAAGACTGCAAATGAGTCAGGTTTTTGAGTGGGTGGCCTACGACCATGTCATCGGCATACTTAACATACAGGCAGTCGTTTGGCGATCTCAAATCATCAGTATGTAGGGAGAAAAGATGAGGGGATAAGATGGAACCTCGTAGAACTCCACAATTATTTGGAAGAATAGAAGATTTTCTCTTTCCCGACTGGACAAACTGAGTGCGGGAAAAAAATAATCTCTAAGCCAAGACACATCCCAGCTCGGAGTGTCGCACGCAGCTGCTTTGGTCAGGAGGAGTTGGCGCGGGATAGTGTTGAAGGCGGATGAGTAGTCGAGAAAAGCACATGCATATGCACGGCATCCCTTGTCTAAGACTCTCAAAGCTGAATGAACAACTTAAGCAACAGCATCCAAGGTGCTACGCTTTGCCTTGTATGCAAATTGTAGATGATCAGAAAAATTGACGGAGGAGTACTGAAGGGAATCTAATGCAACGCGTTCAGTAAGTTTCAGGAGTGCAGAAGAGCAGGCAATAGGGCGGAAAGATTTAGGAGCAAAAGTTAAAGATTTTTTAGGGATTGGATTAATTCTTACTGTACGCCAGGCTTCAGGAATCTTGGACTCTATGAAGGATAGATTTATAAGGTGGGTCAAAACAGGAGCTATCTGCGAACAGCAAGACTTAATGAGAAAAGGAGAGACACCGTCCGGCCCAGCCGCCGTTGACCCGCGAATCTTTTTGAGATGTTGTTCCACTGTTGTCACAGTCACAGGAGTAAAGTCATATGGTGGTAGGTAAATTTCGTTTGGGCGAGAAGGGGAGTCGTTAGAAGAACAGATAAAATTCCGATTTAAAGAGTTTAAATCTACGTCAATGGGTTCAAGTATATTACGTTGACCAGTGAGACGCTTAAGATTCCTCCACAGTTCAGCAGAAGGAAAAGGAGAGGAGGGGGTGGATGAAGTAGAAAAAAGTTGACTAACGGAAAAACCGTTAAGTCTGGCAATTTTGTTCTTTATTAAAACATTGATATTCTTCACCTTGTCACGCTGACCTAGTTTGTGGAAGGCATCTTTGCTACGTCTCAAGTGTTTGAGGTATGGTGATGAGATTCTGTCAGGCCTGACCATAACAGTTTCTCGGGGACAACAAATATAAAAAATGTAATTCGAAAATAGCGTAAGATAATAAGAGCATAATTCAGCATTTTGTAGTTCTAGAAAAGTTGGGATGGTACTAGTAATTGAACTCTGCAGTAAGTGGATCTTATCTACGGATGTGTCTCGAACAGTAATTTTCCTCTCGGGTTTTGTAAGCAGTTGACGCTTTGAGGTGGAATAGACTTTTGGAAGTCCTAGTAGCACTGAGTGATCAGACTCGGAGGGAAGAGCTCTATTTTTAATACAAAAAAGCTTTGGGTAATTGGTCAAGATGTGATCAAGAGGGGCATCAGGCCGTGTATTGAATGAAGCAAGGTCATCAAAACCCAGAAGGGTAATGGGCCGAAAACTCACACGGTTAAAATCACCGCACAAAAGAATAAGATGGTCTGAGGATAA